TTATTAATCTAATAATAAGCTTATATAAGCTTTTATTAAAGTAAGCTAAAGAGAAGTAAGTAACGTATTAGTTAAGTAATTTAATTAATTAAGGTTTATAATATTTTAAAGCTTATTAGCTTAAGCTTAACCCTTTAATACTTTATATTAATTATACTATTAACTTAAAAGCTTTAACTTAAGCTTAATAAATAATTAAGTGTTTATAAAAGTAATATTAATATTTATTAAATACGTAAATATAATAAAATAAGTATTAAAATAATACCTTAAATACTTAATTTTCTTAAGTAAAAGTTATAAGAAATTTAAAGTTCTCTTAAGCTTATAATTATTATACTTTAAAGAGTATTAATTATAATAATAATATATATATATAAGTTTATATTTAATTATAAAAGAGAGAATTATATACGCTCTTTTTATAAGTGCGCTTATTATTAAAGTTATCTACTTATAGTTAAGGGTTTACCCTTATTTAATTAAGCGTACGTAATTTATACCCGTAACAAGTGACCCATTCTGACACTTTTGCAACTCCAAGCGCAGCCGCGATTGCCAGAATGGCTGGCAGGCTATTTACTTTGAAGACGCAATAGCACAGGCACCAACAAGCAGCGATGGGGTCCATTTTGCACGCATACCACATGCCTATCCGAGGCTGGGGAAACGACTTTAGTTTCTTGTTTCTTATCAACAGTGCCATTACACCTTCCAATTCCAGGCATTCACTAGGCTCTCCTGGGATGGTCTCAGTCTGTATTCATTCCAGGCGTGCCCACGCCGGCGCCACGCGTGTCTCGGTCACCCCTGGTAAGTCCAGCCAAAAGATGCTATGCGTAACGTGTCTACCATGGCAGGTTGGTGGGACTGCTTGCAAACTAGTAGTAGTATGATCGGCCAAACGACACACGGCGCGATGCAAGGTGACATGGAGAATCCCGAATCGGAGCAAACCATCTCGAGAGATGTATATTAACAAACTGTATTACACCACCCGTACGCAGCATCATCCTAGTAGGCGGGAGGCGAAAGCATGTTTCTGATCATGGTTCGAAAGCGGCCGGCGCGCGAGGCATCACTGCTCTGGCTTGACCTGCGGGTGATGGAGTTGGTCATCTCGCAGCCTCCAGTCGACGGGAGCCTCGTTGCGACGACGCGGTTGGGCATGTCTAGCTCAAATCATAGGTAACCGTTGCAGCCACGGTGGTTTGGTTTCGATGGCACTTACGAGAAACCCCGTCGCCCTTTGCCGCGGCAAGCATCGCCTCGTACTTTTCCTTTGCTTTGATCGTGGCCGAGGATGGCATGATGGAAGAGGTTGCTTTGATCCTTGTTTCTCTCTGTTCAAGTGTTGCAATGTAGAGTGCCGTGTGGGGTGTCCTCAATAACAATGCGGAGGTGTCTAGAGCTTTATAGGTCGCATGTGGTGATGGCTGCTAGCTTTTTGCCTCCGGCCAGTGATGGACGAGTGGCGTGCAGCAACTCACTTTCTATTGGATTGGTGGTGTCAAGTTGCTGCGCGCGACACAACTACAGTACCAGCTGTTGATAAAGGACTGTGCTCAGTAACAAACATGTGCTGTAGACTGGGCGAGACCTTGGTAGTGAATGATGCCTTTGTGGTGTCACGTCTAGGAGAGGGCCGTCTATTTGTAGGAGAGTGTTAACAATTCATGTACCCAACATTGCATACAGTAAGAGAGCCCCCTATAACAGGTTCAACAACCTTTTCTTTCTCTCTTTCAATCTTCATAAACACTAAGCTCTACTACCAGCTTGTCAACTCGAGACGTCTTCATCAGGCATCAAATCATCCCCTCGGATAGTTCAAGTGAACCCGCTTTGACACCCATTGCGACCCTAGTTGTGAGACGAAGCATTAGGATCGTCCGAGATTTCCAGCAAAGGGTCTGCCTTGAAGTTGCTGCGTTCGTATGAGCTGGCAGTGTCATCGTCGGAGATATGGAGCAAAGGGTCCGCCACAAAATTGCCGCGCTTATTGACATCGTAGGAGCTATCTTTGCCATCTCTGTCAATGGTCAAGAGTTGATCGCTCTCGAAAACACCTGAATGAATATTGGTCAGTCAAGAGCTTTCCATGCACGAGTTTTGCGGAGAAGGGGCGTGTCGTACCTGCTGGTGCAGCCACGGCGAGAGTAGCGAGCAAGGGAAGTATAAAGCGCATAGTCGCTAGCGTTGATATTCTGTAAAGAAATGACTCTAGCTCAACAAGCAAAGACCAGTTTGGGGCTATGCACACGAGTTAAGGTTATTTGTGTTGTGGGGAGCGACAGTATGCTGGGCCATAGCACAAGAACCCGTCCAGGCACGGCATTTATATCCTTTTTTACGTAGCATGGCCAGCCGGAAACAGGCAACTGCGTGACCTTCCCATTGTGAAGTTACATTGCAGGCCGACTGGTTGCATGGAGCAGAAAGACCCAGAACTTTGTAGTCGCAAAGTCAAGATACATGTTGGAATCATGCGTTTTGTTAGCTGACCCCGTCCCGGCATGCATGTACCAAGTGTAAGCAGAACGATGCCGAAAAATCTCCCCAAAAGTGCGTGTTCAGGCTGTCGACAATGTTGAGATCAGAAACAATTTCACATTGTCCTTTGTGCTACTAGTCGGTTTGGGCCCCCCTCGGGATTGTGCCTCCAAGTCTCCAAGATGAAACATTTCTTCTCATTGTGGCGACAATACACACCAGAGCAAAGTCGCAAACAAGATTTTGACGAGGAAGACGACTATAACGACGAGGCCAATGGCTATCTCCTCGACAAACGACTCCGAAAGCTGGCTCAGTCTACGCAACACTGGAGACGCATGGCTCCATGGCTCTTGTTTCACGGAGCGATCGTGGCCACCTACATTATTCTTATTCCATATATCCTGCCCGTATCCTATATTCAACGTCGACAAAGCTGCGTGTCAAAGTTCAATTACTACTGTAACTCCTCATGCCACAAAGTCGAAATGGCTACTGTGCACAAGTACTAACCTTTGAATCACACAGCACCGATAAATGAGGCGATAAAAGAGGAATACTTGCACGTCAGGTTCAACGGGTCTCTATGGTACGACTCGCCTTACAAAGGACCGCCAACTCCCGAGGTCGAACAAGCGTGGCAAGATCTCATGGCATGTAAGGAAACATATCGGCCGCACAAGTTGCTTCTCGGCCTACCTCCGCGATCCAAAAGAATCATCCGGTTCTAATATTTGTCCAATGCACATAGACGGAACCATTAGCGTCACGGCCGACGACATCACCCGTATCGGGCACAACCTCACCGCGGTGCAGTTTCCCGAGGCCGCTGGGGGCGGCTATCTCGCCGTGGCAATGGGAACGCACCAGATACATTGCTTGCACTTTGTCTGGCAAGACCACCACATTGCCTCGTTTCCCACGACGCAGGCAAACAAGAAGGGCGCCTCGGAAATGTATGAGCGACACTACGAGCACTGCATCGACTACATTCGCCAGACGCTCATGTGCAACTTTGATCCGGGCATCATCCCTTACTACTGGGTGAGGAAACACAACCAGCCTACCCCAGACGGCAACACGCGACACAAGTGCGTCAACTGGGACGCTTTGCAGTCCTGGTTGAAGAAACGAGCAGTGCAAGTCCCTGACGGGTTCGAGTGGCATCAGCCGCCGGATGCTGTGCCGCTGCCCGAGAACCCATAGCACATCAGGATGACGATCTCGGAGGTTAAACGATCGAGTGATTGTGCGAGCCGTGGCTGCTGACAATGTCGAAGCGAAAAGCAGGGACATGGGTCAGAAACTAATTGTCCGTGTGTATGTATTGTATTGTACAGAGTACATGGTGCTCAAAGTTGCAACCGCCCAGTAGCAGTTGTTGGCAACGTTGGAAGCCAGTCATGCTGACCGGCCCGGCGCGCATCATCAAAATCTTGGATTCTCCGATGGCTACCAACCGCCTAGAATATTCAATTTATTGGTATAATGAGTATCTTGCACAAAGTGGCCGTGGTAGTTGTCCCGGCCACACTCACTGTTACAAGTGCCGAGTTGACAATCCGTCATTTAAGCCCCATGGTACACTTGTTTACAGACAGGTGCTTGCAGAGTGCGGCGTCGGTAGGATTATTGTGGCCTTGTTCTTTATAGCTTTGCACATTTTGGTACCGATGACATCTCGTGCGTCGTGGATTTTGTCCGGAGTTTAAGTGACGGGTCGGAAATGATGCCTCCACATGGGCTTGACCGACACAAGTACCAGTTACTCGGGAAGCCAAGCAGGCGAGTGGTGGTTTCAACAATTGACAGGTCATCTCCGCGTCTGGGGTTGCAACTGCAACCGTGACAGAATCGCCGGCCGTTGGCAATGGCTCGTTGGGCGCGACAACTCGTACAGCAAATCGGGCGTTGATAATACCAGAGACTCCATCAAACCACGAGTCCTCTAACCTGTCCCCTCACACGACCCCAACATATGAGCCATTGGTTCGCATATGCAGTCTTCCGGAAAAGGAAACAGGAAATCATTGCAAGCGTTCGAGAGGCAGGGCCGTATCATTGTGGGGTTACACTACGTATTGTATCCTCTCTGCATCGGTTGAATTCGTCTACCGCACCACACAACCAACAACTGAAATGGCTGGTTAGGCGTTTGGGAGTCAGGCGAGTCGAATTGGCGGGAACCAACAGGGTGGTTGTCATGCTCTCAGTACCAATCGTCAACAAGGCGCCACCAAGTTGCTGCCACGATGATTGCCATTGTCCACCCGAGCCAGTTTCTGGCAAAAGGGGCTGCGAGTCCTCAATACAGGACCCCAGCGAATAAATGCAAACGAAATCGGGGTCAAGAGCACGCACAGGCCCCCCAGCAAGGTGCAGGCCCAGTTGGTGCCGAGATTCTCGTACAGCGGATACGTCGTCAGAGGAATGATGACGGCGGCCAAAACATTGCGCGTAAAGACGCTTGACGCCAGGGCCGACGCGCTGTAGATGCCGTAGACATCAGTGAGGTAGTTGTTAAGCGCCATAAAGGTCAGGTCGATGCCGATGCCCAGGGGGATCCCTGACAGCGCGGGCACAGCCCACGGAATACTCGGCCGAGCGGTCCATCCCAGCCAGAACTCGGAGAGGGCGAAAAGAGGCCCCCCGATGCATGCGAGCGGCAGCCGTCTGTACTCTTCCTGCAAGGCCCAGGGCTTGCCCCTCTCGACGCTGCGTTTGTGAAACCTGTCCCAGGCGACAAAGATGGCGATGGCCAGAACGGCGCCGATGCCAGTCGGGATGAACATCAGGGCAGAGACGCCATCCGCCATGGCATATGTGCCACGGAAGATGACGGGGTATGCGCCGAAGTAGAGGAAAAAGATGATGTACTGGTAGAGGATGAAGAGGTCGGTGAAGAAGACGAGCGGCTCGGAGAGGAGGCGAATCGGGCGGGCAAGGATTCTAGCCTGTTTCCGGAGGCTGAAGGGTGCTTTGCCAACGACAGGGGTGCCCGATGGATGATGGTTCGAGACGTTCTGGATGCTGCGAGCCTTGAGGACGGGGGGGAAGGTCTCGGGCATGGCCAGCAGCATGGGCCAGTTGACGCCGGCAAGAATGAGGGCACACCAAAACTGCCACTGCCAGACCCTTGTCGACGTGAAGCCCGAGATGATGGGCCCGCAGAGGGGTCCTACGTTGCTGGTCAGGCCAAGCAATGTCACCGCCAGGCCGCGAGGCCCGAGGTCCGAGTAGATATCACAGAACAGTCCCCCCGAGACTGTCTGGGGCGCCGCCGCGCCGCAGCCCAGCATGAAGCGGAAGAAGAGAAATGCCGGCCAGTTGGGTGCCAGAGCACATCCCAAAGTAAACGCTGTGTAAATGGAAAAGGAAATCAAAAAGGCCGGTCGACGCCCCCATGACTCGGACATGGGAGCAAAGATGATGGGGCCAAAAACTGCCCACGAAAGTTTCAGTCATGCTCTGGCTTGGGGACGGCTTCGAGTGACGGGGTCGTGATGTGAGGGGAAAAAAGACTACTTCTTGGTGGTCACTCACTATATCCCACTAGAAACACAGCAACAGGCAGCGGCTTTTGAAGCTTTTCCGTGATGCCAAAATGGTCATTCAGGGTAGATGCCGCGCCGCTGGGGAGGGAGGAACCCAAAGTGACATTAAAGTTGAGCAGAATGACAGTCGCCGAGATGAATATTTTTCGACCCTATCCGTCGAGACGGAACAAAACCCAGGTCAGCCATTTTGGGCCAGTAGTCAAACACAAGGGGCGACAACTTGCCTTGGACAAGCTTGATGCTACTTCGGCGGGGGCTACCAAGTTGCCATCTATGCTCGGCACAATACGATGTCAGCAATAACGTCCAGCCCATATTGCAGGTTAGTCCTTTACGCCAATGTACCTTCGATATCCCGAGATATAACATCTTTTCCGCTTTCGACGGCCATTGGGAATGCGGGTCGCAAGAGACAATGGGAAAAAATATCACCACACAGTACAAACAACCTCACCAACCAAAGATAAAAAGCACAGGTGTGACTCTGCAAGTAGTGCTTGCTGTGGCAGAGAGACTCCCACCAGGTCATTATAAATAGTTCCTGCATAAGTACTTGGCGGCAACTTTGATATATACAACTTTTCGCCTCACAACACGCGCGCAGTGCAACGCTCTGTTACATCCCAGCCATCATATCATTGCTCCCCCTCCGCCGGAACCGGACCATTTGACAAGTTGCTTCTTCACAGCGACGGGACATGGGCCTTGTTGGTTCCACCGTCTCTGCTCAGCCTGCGCCTCTCCCTGAGAACAAGCAAGGCATAACAGCCAGTGGCAACGATCCCCAACACGGTGATTGCCATGCACAGCGAGTACCCGAGGCGGTAGTATGGAGCATCGTGCGGTAGGAAAGCGAATGGGGCCAATATGCCACCCGTGTTACCGAAACTAATCATCCATGCAGAGCCGATGCTTCGCTCCTTGTGCCCCGTCAGGTTCATGAGGTACCAGCAGATGACACTCGGGCCGGCGCCCAAGGCGCCCATACAGACCAAGCAGATCCCTGCATACTGCAGCGAAAAGTTGGCGTGTATGGTGAGCAGGATGGCGAGTCCCGTGATGAGAATGGCGCCCGAGACGAGCACGTAGGGCACACGCAGATCTGTCCGGTCCGACAAGTAGGCCAGGACGAGGCAGAGTCCGAACGCGGCTGCAAACGGAGGCACAGAGCGGAGCTGCGTCTGCAGTACGTCGTATCCGAGCGACTTGACGATGGTTGGCGTGAAGTAGGCGAATGCATAGACGGGGACTACAACCGCTGGTAGGGCTTAGCGGCCACATCTCCCGGCAGTCTGGGGGTGAGGACTTACAGAAATACATGATGGCGCCCAGGTAGTTTTTGGGGTCAGTGAAGAAGTTGAAGACATCCCGCCGGGTAATCTTTCCCTCCAGCTGGGCGTCCTCTGCGCGCGTCCTCCTCAGCACCGCCTGTTTCTCCCTCTCGGAAAGCCAGGAGGCCTCGTTGGGGAAATCACTGACGCAGAAGAAGGACACGGCGGCGACCAGGACGGTGAGAATGCCTTCCAAAATGAAAATCCACCGCCAGTTGCTTTTGCCACGGACGCCATCCATATTCGCAATTGCTGATGCCAGCAGTCCGCCGAATGCCGAGGCAAGGATGACGGAGCAAAAGTACACTGTGAACCTCTTCTGAGATTCATCCCGCTTGTACCAGAAGCTGATGAGGTAGAAACTGCCCGGGAAAATGCCCGCCTCAAAGAAGCCCAGGAAAAAACGGGTTGCAAGCAGACCACTATAGTCCTGAATAAACCCCTGACACAATTCAGTGACGCCAAAGCCGAGCACGCAGAGGGAGAGCCACACATGCGGAGAGAGCTTCTTCATCAAGAGGTTTGAGGGTATCTCGAATACAATGTAGGGAACGAAGAAGACAGCCAGTGAGATGTTGGGCTGCTGATCTGTCAAGCCGAGTTCCTTTGGCATGCTCATGGTGAGTGCGTTGGAAACATTGGACCTAGGCAGTCGTTTGGTGTCAAACCTGGATACGTTGCTGCCATCAACAGCATCATCTTTTCGGGGCAACTTACCGGTCGAGAAACGCCACAACGTAGATCAAAAATAGCATTGGTAGGACGTGCCAGTCGATTTTCCGAATCAGCCTGGCTGCCTCTGCCTCTGATAGGATGTCGTCGTCCGCCAGCGTTGCAATCGCTGTGGGCTCAGTCGCCGCGTAGTCTGAGTCACTTGGTGCCTGCTGCGAGTGACGACGGTCATGAGGTGGTTTGTCTGGGCTATGCATCGTCGAGCTTGATTTCGGGTGGCACCGCGTATGTAGACCAAGATTTGTTGCAGAGTTTCAACCATGAGAATAATAACAAGAATAACAAGAATAATAATAATGTAGGGTGTCATACCCAAGTACAGATTATGTGTTGGTTTGGTATTTAAGCGGAACAGGCAAGCCAAGACACAGTGGCCTTCAAATACGCTGCTCAGAAGGATGAACTAGCTCAATATTCAGGGCATTTCTTCACAACACGTTCCCCCAGCATGGCCTGAGCTGAACTTGTGGTGCAATGTTGCAAAGAAGCTCGACACGGGCCGTGGTCTCGTGGGGGCGTGGCCAACAATTAATTACCTTCCTGGCGCTCGCGTGAGGACGGACTGAGCAGGCCGGGCCGCATGTATCCTGGTGTTTTCCCTTGTCTTGACTGCGCGGCATGCAGGCTTACGAAATACTACCAAAGCATGTAGGGCAGACGGCTTGTTGCAACCCCGGATGCAGCTTGTTTCGCAGCCCTTGCCAATGAGAGAAGTCGAGTCGTAAAGGGTGCATATGCGCACCAATGAGTCAATACGTCGACGGCGCACTATCAAATGCCCATCGAATGGTGTACCAGAAGGCATGCCCTTGTTTTCAGCTCATGCTCCCCTTGATACTTCGTGTGACGGGGGACAAGACTTCCCCATGGCACGACACACGGCAGCTTGGAGCGTTTTGCATACATTATTGCTACCTCAGCCTCTCAGCTGTCTGGGATCTCAAGCCCAAGGATTTTCAGGGAGGAAACCAGTGGCAATATATGGAGTTTCCGTAGTCTGAGCCCAGTTCAAAGATATCTATATTGGTGTTGGTCACTTTTATTTTTCTCCCTGGTTGGCTGTGTTTGCTCCCCCGTCCACTTCCGGAAACAACGAGACGAGAGATTGCTCCGCCGCGTAATTTGTAATGACCGCCATTTCTCAGATTCATTTGTCTTGAAACGCTTCTATGGCGCCGCAGCTGTCAGAAGTTTCGACAAGCCCTCTGCCCACCTTCACTCCGGCCCTGAAGCCACCGCCCGGAGTCGTCTCGAGTCCTGACCATCCAGCTTCGTTGGCGTATCTTGCTGACATCACCATCGGGATATGCATTCCACTGGTTACGGTCTTTTTTCTTTTGCGGACCTATGTCCGCATCTTCATCAAGCGCGTTTGGGTGTTTGAGGATGCGCTGGTGACCACGGCCTGGGCCGGCACCGTTGCCTACTGCGGCATCATGAGAGCCACCATGTCCCATCATGGAGGCCAGCATGGCTGGGACATCACCATCGACGACGTCCACCAGGCCGCGTACTGGTTCAACGTTGCCGCCATCGAATACGGCGTCATGATTGGCGTCACCAAGCTTGCGGTCCTCTGGCTTTACCGCCGCGTCTTCTCGCCCATCCGCTGGAGCAAGTTTGACATGACAATCGTCACGCTCATTGTCATTATTTTTGGATTCTACAGCACCACGTCTCTGGTGAAGATATTCGAATGCAACCCGCGCGCAAGGATTTGGAACCCCTCGGTACCCGGCAAATGTGTCGACATACACATCATATTGAACGTGAGTGGTGCTTTCAACACGGTGACGGATTACTTGATCCTATTGCTGCCGATCCACGCCGTACGGAAGCTTCAGATGGACCGGTTCAAGAGAGTCCTCGTGGTACTCGCCTTTACGTTCGGCCTATGGTACGTGTGCCTTGCCGTGGCAATGGAAAGTCTGTCTGACCGCCCAGCAGCGCCCCGATCTTTGCGACAATTGGCTTTGTTGTCCGCCTCAGGAACAGCGGCAATCCGGATACGTCGTGGAAACAGCCCGAGATCCTCCTTTGGGGCGCGGCAGAACTCGCCTCGGGCAACTTGTGCGTTTGCTTCCCCGAACTTGCCGTCCTCTTCCGCAAGAAGAATCGCACGCGCAGTGGCCCTCGTCGACCGACAGACTCGCAACTCAAAGAGTCTCAAGAGCTGAACCATGGGAGAAGAGCGCCGTCGGATCCCTACTTTACCAAGAGTCTCATGAGCACCGTGTTTAGCACAGACGGCGATGCACAGTATGTCGAGCTGCAAGACCAACCCAACTACAAAGCGACCCCTACCAGGCCATACCGTTGAGAAAGTAACCAAGCATCGTAGCAACACCAAGAAATTTAGAACCAGGGATGGAAGTCCACCAGCGCCATTATGTACTGCGGCCTGACTGTGTCTCGTCAGTCGTGGCGTGTTTGGAGAGTGTCTCAGTGTGGGAATTCAACTGTATATTAGGCTTTGCCTGTCAACATATTTTTGCAAGTGGGAATCCTTTCATGCTGCAATCATGTAGTAAAAAAAGACCATGCTATGTGTAAATACAAGATTCTTTTTATTCGCTCGAGATTGCCCGTCTGTGCTCGCATCTAATAATGTAGCTACATATGTTTCTGACAACCAACAGCCTCGTCTTAAAGCCGACGTTACACGAACCAACACCACCTCCTCCACCGACTTCCCCCTCCCTTCATGCGAACTCTGCATGACCTCCGTTGAAGAACCACCGTTGCAGATGCTATAATGGCATTGCGGACTCGCCTGGGACGCGAATTTCACTTCCGCTCCATTTCTCACTTTGCAGCGTCGCGTCGTTTTCGCCCATTCGCACGTCTTCCACCACCACCACCACCACCCGCGGCTCCCTTTTCAACAAGCCGGCATTTGCTCCAAGCTTCGAACCGTGCAAGTATGGCAGCCTCGCAGTCGACGCAAGGGTCGTGAGTGCCAGCTTTCACCGCCGCATGCTTCGGGGACAGACAGGCTCACTTCCTCCCAGGTACACGACCGCGTTCGCCCTATTCGAGGCACTCTGGGAAGTACGACATTCTCCCTGCTCACTGGTTGTAAACGGAACAGCTCACAATTAAAAGGCCGGCGTCACGGCATGTTTTGTGAATGTTGGGTCTGATCACCCCTCCATTCTCGAAGCCATCGTCAAGGGCAAGCGGGAGCGGCCCAACTCTTGGCCGCGAATCATCACATGCCCAGCTGAGGTCACTGCCATTTCCATGGCCGATGGATATTCGCGCGTATCGGGGCGGCCACAAGCTGTTCTGGTCCATGTCGACGTCGGGACGCAAGCTCTCGGCCAAGGCGTCCACAATGCCAGCGTCGGCCGTGTTCCAGTCTTCATCTTTGCCGGCATGTGTCCATATACCGAGTCCGGTGAGCTTGCCGGCTCGCGGACGGAATACATGCACTGGCTGCAAGAAGCCCCTGATCAAAAGGCCATTGTACGGCAGTATTGCCGGTACACGGGGGAAGTCCGCACAGGACTCAACGTCAAGCAGACTATTGGGCGCGCGCTGCAGTTCGCAAACAGCACCCCCAAGGGTCCGGTCTACGTGGCGAGCGCCCGTGAAGTCTTGGCTCAAGAGATCCAGCCGTACTCGTTGGATCAGGCGCAATGGGTGCCGATCGGACCAAGTGCGCTCCCGGCTGATGCTGTTCGCGACATTTCCAAAGCGCTCGTGGAAGCCGAACGTCCGCTCATCGTCACTGGATATTCGGGCCGGGACCATCGCTGTCCGGACCTCTTGGTTGCTTTGGCCAATCTCATCCCGGGAATCCGAGTCCACGACACCGGCGGCAGCGACATGTGTTTCCCCTTTTCTCATAGTGCCTCGGAGGGTTTCCGTCTGAGCTTCGACGAGTGCACCAAGGATACGGATATGGTCTTCCTCCTCGACTGTGACGTGCCCTGGATTCCATCTCGGAATCCGCCCCCCAAGGATGCCAGGATCTATCACGTAGATTGCGACCCCCTCAACCAGCAGATTCCAGTTTCCTTCTTTCCCGCTCACGGGCGCTGGAAAGCGGATAGTTTCACTGCATTAAGCCAGCTTGTTGAGCATATTAAAAACGACGCCTCACTTGGCAAGCAGTTACGAGACCCCAAGTATGTCGCTCGTCGAGCAGCGCGTGAGAAGGTCCACGCATCTCGGTTGGCGGAGATTGCTTCTCAGACTCGTCTAAACGACGACGAACCTCTCAATGCTTCTAATATCGGCAGCCTTCTCAAGACGTCACTTCCAGACTCGACGACGTTTGTGATTGAAGCTGTTACAGCCGCCCAAACTCTGTCCGACCAGTTGCAGCCCAGCCGACCTGGAAGCTGGATCAACTGTGGTGCGACGGGAATTGGCTGGAGCAACGGTGCCGCCCTGGGTGTCAAGATGGCTCTGATGGATCTAGAAAAAGACCAGGATCGGAAGCCAAGTCTTGTTTGCCAGATTGTCGGTGACGGAAGTTTCATGTGCGCAGCACCCTCGAGTGCGCTATGGGTCGCAAGCAAATACGAGATTCCTGTTCTCACAATTGTATTGAATAATGGAGGTGAGTCTGTTTGTGATGGCAAACTAACCCCTGCATGACCGTCCGGCTAATCAACCTGTAGGGTGGAAGGCTCCTCGAAACTCGGCGGAACTCGTCTACCCCGGCGGCCTTGCTTCCAGCGCAACCGATGACGAGATTAACATTTCCTTCCGCCCTACTCCAAACTATGCCGCCTTGGCCGAAGCAGCAGCTGGATCGGAGGCTGGCTGGGGAGGCTCGGCCGAGGACGATCGAGCCTGGATGAAGGGTCTGCGAGTAAGGACAGTCGCTGATCTTAAAAAGGCGCTCAAGCTTGTAGAATCACGCGTTGTTCAACAGCGAAAAGGAATGCTGCTCGAGATTCTACTATAGATGCAGGTCGTGCCCTGGGGGACTCTGGGACTCGCTCGAGTCCGACCTGCTTGCTACTGAGCTGGCTTCTCTGCTTCCACTAGCAGCTCCGGCATCATTTGTCTCAGTCAGTAGGAAGCAGATCAATCGGCGGTGGAAATAGAGTGTTGGCTTTGGTAGTGTCTTAGTTATTGCTTGAAACAGTAAGCACCATCTGATGGATTCGCATTAGGAATACGTGAGCAATGATCAGACTTGGATCCCAATGCGTGCAGAAGCTAAACTCTACAGACTCACGCGCCACTTAGATTCTCCTGCAACAACCTCCTCTCTGACATGAGGTCTCTTACCAATTTTCCTTGCCTCTTCTTGGCCAATCACGTAGTCTGCATCCTCGAATACCATGTCCGCCAGCTCCGGCGAAAGTCGGTTGCCATTACGAATATAGTCTTCTGAAGGCCGCGCATGGCAATTTTGACCCCGGGGGGGGGGGGGACATTTGAGGTTTAAATGACAGGAATGGCTGGGTCAACGGGGAACAATGCCAGAATCTTGCAATGTCATGGACGAGCAAGGTTGTTGAGTGAGAATGGCCGAGCTTGGTGCTGAGCTGCAATAGGTTGGGGAAGAAAAAAGCGGCCGTGCCTGTCGAGTGAGAACTGAACCAATGGTCTAGGCGCCGCGGCGGGCCATTTTGGCCCCCGGGGGGGGGGGGACATTTGAGGTTGAAATGACAGGAATGGCTGGGTCAACGGGGAACAATGCCAGAATCTTGCAATGTCATGGACGAGCAAGGTTGTTGAGTGAGAATGGCCGAGCTTGGTGCTGAGCTGCAATAGGTTGGGGAAGAAAAAAGCGGCCGTGCCTGTCGAGTGAGAACTGAACCAATGTGTTGCTGGGTTGTTGCTTCATGTGCCTCGTCCACAGTAATGGTTCTGGCAATGGAGCGTACATCACGTAGCATATAGCTAAAATTCAGAGTCAAATCTTCTGAGCTGGAGGCGTGAAACGCGAGGCGCGACTCGGTGAACTTCTCTCATTATCAACGTAGAACAGGGCTGTGACCCGAATATGCTCGTTTTGCTGGCTCTCAATAAGCTATGAACTGCCGTGATATGCGGGCTTTTCGCGAGTCATGTGGATTTTTATGAGCATCGCAATAACCTGAAGCTGACGGGCCGATCCGAAAATGCCACTCGTCTTAATGCTGTCTGGGATGATATTGATGTGCTTTTATTCCTTTTGGATGTTATTTCTGGCGTCACATGTCCAATGTTGCATCATGTAGGGTTTGCGGGTGTGTTGCTTGGAACCTTGGATCGTCTAGCCGGTCACGCTGGTCCTATTCATAGTCGGCCTGCCTCAATCTCTTCGTGCTCTTCTCGAGGAGACCCATCATTATTGACAGGCCTATTTGCTGGTCGGCATTCATAAGTGTGCTCACATGCCTCTGGTGTTGTACACTGTGCTCCGAGCTAGTTGGTGGTGAGTCGTTGGAATCCAAGCTCCTTTGCCCAATCGTAGACTAGACCCCATAATCGTCAAGACTTGGTGATGAACTTCTTGCTAGCTTCATAAAGTCTTGTGTGCTCGACCGAATGCAAATGGTTGATGTAGCTGTTGACTTTTGCAGTACTTGATAGACTCCTGCAAGAATTTGCCTGGCTACGGCTATTCTCCGCAGGCGGATAAGCTGAATATCGGGGATATTCGGCCAAGGGCTGCTATTACTGGATGTCCCTGCTTCCATGGCCACTCAGATGGAGCTTGAATTCTGCGGATAACTAGCCAGCCACCTAGGAAGAAAAGAAGTCTCCATTCATCAATAGATGGCTGCATAAAACGTAATCACATTTCTATTTCTAGACGAATGCGGTAGATTGCAAGCGTGTATAACCTGAAATACTTAACGCGTGTACATCAACAATCCACAAGGTTTAAGGCTTTCCACCACTAGCTATTCCCATTACCTTAACACTAATATATTCTATAATAAATATGCATAAAGCGTCAAGTAAAGGAAAACAAGCTTGAATAGGTATACATTGCTCACCATAGTCTTAAAGTTCTCGAGGTTTACCTAGAAGTAATAGCCAAGTGTGTGAGAGACTTGGGGCCAAGGCAGAATAACTCGAAACTACATCCTCAACAACCTTCGCTCCACTCAACTATTTGGATGCAACTTGAACTGTAACACCGGCAACTCCCTAATCTCCCTTTATTTCTAGTATATATCTAAGCTAAAGGGAAGAGAAAACTAAGTACAGAGAAGGAAAACATGGGAAAGCAAGCGAGCTACGGTGTTACTTCCATAACAGGTCGATGCCTTTAAAAGCCAACAATGCTCTATTCCCACAAGTAGTGGACATGAAACTAGGGCGTCCATGTGGTTCTAAGCGACATCACATGTCCACATGTTCCACGCCCAGCCGCAGCCAATCATGGTCACCTTGATCGGCGTTCCGTCATCTGCTTTGGCTTGATCAGACAAAATGTCCGCATGTCCAGTCTGGCCCATATGATTCCATCCCCGGCTAAACTTTTCCCAGATGGCATTGTCTGGGAAAAGATTTGGTCGCTCGCCAAGCCAGCCGCCTACAAAGACTTTCTCGAACCCATTCTCCTTGCCTTGTGCCATAACCTGTCCCATGCTTCCAGGGTACAGTTTGTGATTGAGAGCTCCTTTGCTATCCTCACTGCATTGAAGAGCATTCTGTGCCAGCTTAGAATCGTACTTGAGTGGGCGTAAATTTAAATCACCAAGCCACTTGTTGACAGTTGCCATATAGAAAGGTTCGTCGCCACCTGACGGGACCTTGGTAGCTGATGGAGTGGGTGAGACGACAGGCCGGGTTTGCGTAGCCACGGGCTTGTGCGATGCACTGATGGTGGTGCTTGGTTTCTGCGGTGTATTGTCCTCGGGATTGTCAGTTTTTTCCTCGTCATTAGGACTATTAGGCAGGCCATTATCTTCCGGCAGACTATCGTCTTCAGGGGGACAAGCATCTTCTGGCAAATAATCGTCTTCAGGGGGACTGTTATCTTCTGGCAGACTATCGTCTTTGGGAAAACCTGGAGGAAAATATGGATCTTCAGGCCAGGCTGGTCCGTTCCAACTCGGATCACTGTCTGGGCCTTGCCAACTCGGATCACTGTCTGGACCTTGCCAACTTGGATGACTGTCTGGCCCTTGCCAGCTAGGATGACGATCTCGTCCCTGCCAAGTAGAATAATCACTTTGTCCATTCCAGTTCACATTAGCTGATCTCCCCCGATTATGATCAACAGTGTCTGTAGTACGTTTGGCCAGGGAACCTCGAGGCAGAGCACTGACAAGAGGCAGCGCGGCAACAAGAAGAGGGACTCGCATGTTGAAAGAACGTTAGAGATCAAGGAGTGTAAGACGTGTAAAAGAGAGACAAGAATTATTACAGGTAAATACAGACCGCGTGGACCAGAACGGGGGACTAGACTAAATATATTCAAGACTTTGGTAGATCTATATTATTGGAATGCTTGGGCGATATCGCATATAGTGTTTACCTGCAGTATCTTGGCCAAAGGTGTAATGTGTCCCTGCTGCTCGCATTTTGAATTGGGGAAATTGCGCATTGTCTTCATCTATATTATCATACTGTTTAGGAATTCCTAAATTTCCTTACTCCACATGTATTTGGAGATTTATGCGGCTGAATCATTTGCCTTGTAGTCCTCGATGAAGTAAGTACGTGTTAACCACTTGAAGGCAAGTAGGCAAAATAACCCACATACTCACAAGGCCAACCTATGTAAACTAGTGTCTGATGTCATCTTAACCCGGTTTGTCAGCTACCAACTGCCTAGACCCAAGGCCAAAATGGAGTGAATTTTGTGGACAAGCACCCTGAAATTTTAACGTTGCAATAGTTGGGTTTGCTATTTCACTTCTTTTCTTAATTCCAGCTTCTAGGCATGTCTAGAACATCTGGTCACAAGCCATCATGGGCATATTGTCGCGCCATTTCCTAGAGGTCGCATAAATAACACTCCACCCAAGCACTTGGCGCTTTTCTTCAGCCCATGAAAAGAGAGCAAGCCTACTGGGAGCTGTGACCCACACATCTATACGCACACATCCCCACTTTGATTGAATACTTGACATTTTCCATGTAATCGCGTGGGACCCGCGTTATTTATCGGCATCGTCAGTGCTTAAGGATGAGGTTATTGTTTTAATAGAGACTCAAGGGTCTTTTAATACTGCTGTCGCTTGAAGCTGTGAAGATTGTTAAGACGTAAGGCCGAAAATACTTTATTACTTGGCACTTTATTTGAACTTCACTAATTGTTAGTTTTTTACGTGTGCTACACATCGAAGGGTCGTGAAAAAACTCTCAGTTGGCAACCAAGTGGACGAGTCAGTGGTTCGTCCACTTGGTCACTGACGGGCAAGCTGAAACCGAGCATAAAATTTCATTCAAGCCCCATAAAATAACCTTCGTTACTTGACGAAAGCTGCGCGCCAAGATATTTGCCATGTTGCGTACCGGAATTGGGCAGTTGGGCTGGGTGTGGAAGCTGCTCGCACCTAGCAAGCCGGATTTGACCCCTTTTTATGAAGGTTACGAACACAACAGCCAAAAGGCTGAATGCTGAGATTCGACTGCTCAAGGAGGGCCTTCAAAAGCTAGTCATATACATTTACTGGCAATTACGCTATTCAATCGTATTGTGGTACTTTATTCTACTGCAACGCACTCAACATGGATATCCGACCCAATGGGAAGTTCCGGACTACCAAGAATGCTTTGATGCTCAAGAACCGTAGCCATCATAAAGCTTCCTTGGATTCCATATGACGACAGTAATGAGTCCTACTGCCATGATAGCATTGGGTCTACTACCATCATTATGGTAACCAAATTTTACCGTGATTTGGTCAGCCATGAGTTCCAGCGCCAGAGGACCAACGAGGGATACGAAACTACACAGAAGTGCCTCGAAACGTATGAGACCGACCCAGCTTTCAAGTTGTTTATTCCTTGGCTGTCTGCTAGCTCCATTGTTACGCCGCACGAACCCAAGATATTCAATACACTCGGAATACAACTATGCCACTCAGGCGGCAAAACGGTTGCGTACTCGGTCAACAGAGGAATTATTCGTACTAACCTTTTAGAGGATTGATATCTCAAGACTCAGTGGCTAACTTCAATGTGCCGGCTTTTACAAAGCTTCGATATTGGCCTGGAGGTGACATGAGCAGGGCCGCAGTATCCGCCGCATCCGCCGCAGTATCCGCATTTGACTCTAAATGCTGAGAAGGGCACATTGTGTTTCTTCTATAAATTACATGCTCAAGAGATGGGGGTAAGATCTTCAGAGGCTCCGATCAAGATGTCCACAACCACCAGCCGAGTCTACCGCATTGCAACTGTTACCTGCAGTGTGCGAGCACGGCGGCTCAACCCTTTTATTTCGCAATACGTTCGCGACACCATCTCGCCATCCCAAACTGGCATCGCACTCGATATAATAGATCTACAGGACCAGGCATTGCCCCTATACGACGAGCCCGAGATCCCGTCTCACTTACCCCCGGATGACCCGACACGGCATTACAGGAGCGAGCACACCAGGCGGTGGTCAGAGACTGTCGGCGGGTACGATGCATTCATTTTCGTCACTCCTCAATATAACTGGAGTATACCTGCGAGCTTGAAGAATGCTCTCGATTATCTGTTTTACGAGTGGAAAGGAAAGCCAACGGCTGTGGTGACGTACGGTGGAAGAGGCGGCGGCAAGGCAGCTGACCATCTGCGACAAATCCTGACCGGCTTGCAGATGCGTGTTGCAAAATCCACGGCGCAATTGACAGTGACTTCCAAAACTATGGAAGACTGTCTAAGACTCAATCAGATCAATGGGACAGACACAGAACGGTGGCGCAAGGATGGAATGGAAGCACAAGTGCAGAATATGTTTAAAGAGCTGGTGGATATGCTACGAGGCGGACAGTGAGATGACCATTCAAAACATGGATAGCTTACGATTGAGAACACAATACGAACATGTTGAATGTTTGAGATGATCTGAAAAGGCAGTTGAACTTGAAGAGCTTCTAGAAACATGGAACCCGCCGAGGCCCACACACCAGACGTCGATCGCACCTGCCCAACGAACGAACCAGACCAGACCAGACCAGTGACTCCTTGCATTGCTGACGTGCAGCCACTGGCCCTTTCACCCAGTCCGACTTGATGTCTCCTCGCCAGCTTTTGGTTGTCTTACTTCTCGCCGCCGCATCACGACACGTCAATCCAGCTGATGAGGTTTGCGGCAAGTGTCGGCCATGCCAAAACGAAGCTACGGCGCTGTGCAACAGGGCGCGGCCAAGAACCGACTCAGGGCATATGCAGCCTGTACCGAATGCCGGCGGCGCAAGCGGAAGTGTGACGGCAAAGATCCGTGCTCATCATGTCACGGATACGGTTATACCTGCGTTTATCACGTCGCTTCCGGTTCCGCGCCTTCTGTGGACGACGCAAATGGCAGCATTGAAGGCAGCAGCAACAGCAACCTCACTCACACAAGCCTTGGCCGCTCCATTGTCCATGATTCCGTTCCGCCTCCATACCCATCACGCCCACCACCGTCTAAGCTGCCGCCGACGCAGGAGCCTCGCTCAACAGAAGTCCTTGTCAGCAAGCAAAAGGGTCGATACATCAACGCCCATAGCGCCGTTGCTCTACCTCATCTTGTCGGCTCTTGTCTCGGTGCCGAGGTGCCACCACGCCTTCACTCCTTTGCGTGGAATCTGGGCACTCGACCAGAGCGAAAATGGGCCATACCTACCGCCCTGTCAAGCTTCATGACTTTGGCCGATTGCCAGCGCCTGTCTTCGGTCTATTTCAATGCCGTTCATCCCATGTTCCCCTTCCTGGCCGAGGAAACGTTTTCCCAGAGACTATCCAGTCTTTGGGACTCGCTAGAGTCCCGACCAAACTTTGCCGCCGTCGTCGCAGCTGTGGCCGCGCTCGGGTCCTTCTTTGCAGATCCTAGTCACCCCAAGGAAGAAGCCTTGGTAGACTACGCATTCTCCATTTTGGATATGGGACTATCCACACCCATATCCTTGGTAGATATGGACTCTGTTGCAGGATGGATACTGCGAACCCTCTATATTCGCCTCACCACCCGACCTGCCGTCGCCTGTCTTGCTAGTCAGACGGCCATGCATGCTGCTGAGATTCTGAGCCTGCATCGCGACATTTCCGAAAGACATGCAACCACCCCCTCTTCTCGCGAGGCTCTATCCAGCAAAGACGAGCTCGAAAGCCGTCGACGCCATTACTGGGTGGCATGGTGCTTAAATTGTCTTCTCAGTGTCGAGTACGGACTTGGCTCGGTGAAGCTCTCGCTGGCTACGTGCTCACCCCCCTCATCTAGCCCCGGTGTGTATATTGAGCACCTCGTGTCCATCGCGCGGGTCTTAGACTCGGTCGAGGCAGAAGTGGAAAACTGTCTGGATACGCAAGCCATGGCCGACCGCTTCCTGCAACTTCAGAGCATAGCCAGCGAGTCTGCCTTGGTCTGCATCTTCAAAGCAGAGGTCTGTGTTGGCATTTTGAGGCGGTACGTATCTGCAGCTCTTCGCCCCAACAAAACAATTACCAAGGCTTCCATTGCTATACTGGAGAAGGCCCTGGACAGCATCGATGGACTATTATCTGCGCACCAATTTTGGTGGAACTTGCTGAGTGTTCCGTTTCAGACTGTTTGCATCATCTTGCAATTCGATACAGACAGCTATTTGTCCTTGCTACCGACGGCTATGGGGGTTCTGCGCAATCTTTCGCAGAAGCTAGACACGCATCTTACAAAAGAAGCCCTGTGCACCGCTCAGCAGTTAGTTGCCCTGTCCAGAGACAATACCCAAGCCAAAGCAAAACTGAAGACAGATGCGTTGGGGGACTGTCCATACAACACTGGTATAAATTGGCCGTCGATGGATGAGGCATTTGACTTTGAGAATTGGCCATTGGGTCTGGACTTTCTCTATAATAGTCAATGAAGAAACTAATGGGGAGCTGTCCTCTCGAGACATGCCGAATGCAACTTGAATGCAGAGATTTCGGGATTTGTAAGCGTCCAAATTGATCGTCATTATCAGCGTACGCTTGTATATCGGAGCACACATACGAGTCTTCTTTAAAATGTCACTAATATCTGCCTTTTGATGGGCCCGTTCGTTACAAATTCGGCCTCTCTACCACGATTGCCAAATTGACCACTAGTTGACAAAGGCTTCACTCATTGAATGTAGGGATTAAGTATGAGCCTTGACAAATTAAATCTATCAGCATCGCAGCTAATATAATAGCATAGCACCATGGCAGTCTCCACGGCTGTGTCTTCTGCTTTGTCATGCAGGTAGTTTGCATTCACCCACGACGAGCTACTCCCAAGACTGCATCCTGCCCTTGTTGACGGGATAGCCGAATTGTTTTACTCGATGATGACATCGGGGTTCTCCTTGCTCACGGCTTTGGTTTAGACAGCGCTTCTCAAACTGCCAAGGAATACAGTAAGGCGTTCGTTCCCTGCGAAAAAAATTACCGTCCCATCCCGGCATCCGGCTATAGACTCAAATTCATCAAGCCGCTGCCAGCAGTGACGGCTTCTATCCAGTTAACCTTTAATCTCCTCAGAAGCAGGCCCGTGGGTGTAAACGCTCTGACATGCTCGGAGGATGGGATTGCCGATAATCATAGTCACCAAGACCAATACGTCGAGCGTTCCGGCGCAGGAGCTCACGGGGCTCACTCACACAACAATTTTCATTCGGCCTAGACCACACGGGCAGGTCAAATGTCGAGAAAATTGGGCTGTCGCAAGCAATGCCCGCTTCGCACTGCCACGCTGAGATGCAGAATCTCCGCATGCAAACCTAGTCCAGTCAGCCTACAGAACTGCCTTGTGCAAAGAGAGATCTTCGTGCCGCACTATGCTACTTGAAAAACATGTCTTATTAAGAACATTGTCATCTCAGGCAAAAGACCAATTTCTATACTTTTCAATGTCAAGTTGGCGATTAAAAGTTTCTACACTCATCAAAATTCAACCCTCACGGGCTTTGCCCCCAAGACGGCGGCGAGCATGTGAGAGCATGCAAATTCATAATGTCGTCTCATCTCTGCGCTTCTTGTAAAAATGTTTCTCTTGTTGTACTTTTTAATAAGGTTTAAACACGGATTTTCTAGAATCTAGTAAAACATATAGGTTATTCAATCTACTTACGTGCGATAAAAGCCCTCCCACCATCGCCGGGTGAGGATGCACCCGGCCCGCGGTTTCACATTAGCATAACATGTCAGCTGCAACTTGAGAAGTGCGAATGCAAACACCGAAATGCTTTTTTTTCACTCACCTCGTAGGTTCACATCTAAAACAATTCAAGGCCGGGACGTCAGGCCCCTGCTTCTGCCAAGTTGACTGTGGACGGTGCAGCAGTAAACAAACACATCAATACTACGTGGTCATTTGAGCATTGGGCGTTAAGGCAACAGTGGACAGACTAGTGTTAGATGCGCGCTAGCTGGAGGAGGCGCCCTATAGCTACGCAGTTAGTATCAGGAATAGGCCAAACGTCTGGCTGGAAGAGACTCCCGAGGTCTATAGGGAAGCTATGCAGATTGTTTGGTTGTAGGTCTTGTCTGCGTTGCTAGGCTTCTTTTCAGTGTTTGCCGAGAAGCACGTCGACCTGCGAGAAACACTAGAAACTGACTTTGGTTTGGAGCCTACCCAGGCCATATAGATAACTTACGGCTGATATAAGAGCTAAACGCACACGGACGAACGGAACCATTCCTTTTTACGAAACTAGCCAAGCAACTACATAAAACACGCAAAGAATTCCGCACGGAAACTCTATCCGAGATTTGTCTGTTGAGTGTGTGCCGTTGCCCGCTCAATCAGCGGACGCAGCCTCGCACTCTAATGCTATTTGCCCTTTCTTGGCTCACACTAAGGGTATGGGAGCTACGTATATTATATCAACTTATTAGTAGGTTGAATAGGAGAAGCTAAAAATAGCGTTAAAGAATATCAATCAGCTTAGAAAAGCCACTTCTTATAGATGAGCTATGGAAAACCTTTAGTGACGCAATACTTGTAGCCGGTTAACCAGGCTTTTAGTATGTGAATTCTCATTATGTATTATCTAGGATGATATCGAGTACTAGATTTTCTAATCAGAGGAAATAGGAGACATGTCTGAATTAGCAAGTCATTCCCTTGCAGCGGTTGATACGCCAATGATCACGGTGTTCTGCCGCGTTTGGATCTCCTAGAAGTAGGATTATGCTGCCTTCCAAATCAGGAGTCCCTTTGTGAAATTGCCGCCAATTTGGCTGGCTAGAGCCGAGGAGAATGGGTTTAGAAGTACAGTAAACCATGTCTATAACGATTCTATATCTTAGCGATATTCGGGTTTTTACGATAATTCACGGTTATTTAAGGTTTTTCTCTAATAAATTATTAATAGTTAGGTTACTTATAATATTATTAGCCTTAGGCTTAATTATTATATATTTTAGTGTTTTTATCGTTATTAGGCCTCTATTATAAGAGTTAAATTTCGTAGCCTTTAACGCGTTTTTCTTTCTTTAATACTACTATAATAACACTCTTTTTATTATGATTTAACCTCTTTTATTATAATTTCTTAAGTTACATGTGAGCTAATACTAATAAGTTATTAAGAAAGGTAAATTATACGAAAAAAGTATTATAAAAATCCCCTTTAATAATAGGTATAGCTTTAATTATAAGCTTATAATAAATTTAATTAAAACTAAAAGCTCTTAAATACCTAAAAATGCTATAAATTAAAATATTTATTACTTAAGTTAACTCTCTTTAAATTAATAACCTAATTAAATAACCTTAATTATATTATAACTAGTAATATTATTACTAGTCTTATAAGATAGCTTTAAGAGAAAATAAAAGACTTTAATAGCTTAAAGACCCCTTTATTCTCTTAAGAATAAATTAATAGCTTTAAATTATACTTTTATATTAAGAAATAAAAGATTAACGGTAAAAGTAAGTCTATTAAAGCTTTTAATTTCTCTTAAGACGTTATAATAATATAAGAAATTAGAAAATAATTCTTAAATAATAATACCTATAATATAAATAAGACTAGGCTTTATTAGTAGAAAAATCTCTTATACACGCTAATAATAAGTTTATAAAAGAGAATAAAGTAAGATAAAGCTTATATTATAATTTTATCTTATATTAACGCGTTTAAAACCTATTAGCTTAATCTTAAAATTATTAATAAGTTTAAAAACCTATAATATTTTATTAAAGGGCTAAATAAACTTTAATATATTTCTTAAATAGCTATAATAGTTTAATTAATAAATAAGCGGCTATTACGTTCTTCTTTTATTAAATAACTTTAACGCTTATAAATATACTATAAATAAAGTTATTCTTACGAATATCCTTACTAATATAAAGGTTATTTTTCTTTTAGTAAATATAATAAGCTTATATTAATCTATAAACTAAGAAATTATTAATAATTTAAAAGTCTATTATTAAAAGTAATAGCTATAGTTTATAGTTAAATTCGTATTTTAGAATATTAATCTAATACCTTAATTAACCTTATTAAAGACTATTATATAGCTTATATACGCGTAATATAATTATATAAAAATAAATACTATTACTAATTATTAGAGGAAATTAAAGCTACTTAATAATATTTAAAGTTATAAGCGCTAGCTAAAGAATTAAAATAAAAGCTATTAAGCTCTTCTAGCTATAGCACGCGATATTCGTATTTAAGGCCTTATAAATATTAGAAATATTATTAATAATAATAACCTTAATAACCTAATTAAGCCCTTTTTTAAGCGTATTAATAAGAGCCTTAATAACCTAATTAACGATATTATAGCGAGGTTTTCGTAGGTCTTTTCTATTAATATTCAAAGCGTTAAAGAAGAACCTAAAATACTAGTAATTACTATACAGAGCATTAACAAGAAAACTACATTTTCAATTTTTAAAAAAGCTTAAATAATTAATAATAAATCTAATAAAATACTTGAATTATAATAATAAATACAAACTATACTACTTCTAATGCTCTGTTACTATATAAGAGGCGTTTAAAGCTATTAAAAAATTAATCTTCTTTAAAGCATAACGCGAATCTATTAATTTCAAGCTTCTTTAATAGCTTTAATAGTATTAAAGGTAACTTTAATACGATTAATAAAAAGCTTATAAGATAATAAAGAAATAATAATCTCTTAATATATACTTTATAATATCTTTAAGTGTAATTTCCTAGTAAATTTAATTAAAGGTATAAGCCCTATAATAGTTGCATCTTAATAATAGTCGCCTTATAACGATAAAAAAAGCCTCACGAAGGATATCGTTATAGACATGGTTTACTGTAAACCCTGCTCAAGAGTGACTAAGGAGACGCGACGCCAATTTTTGCGTATGACCCGTCACAGCACCATGGTCCTATAACCTGGGTTTCCGTATGAAAAAAGGCCTAATGCCCCATTGTTGGTTCACTATTATGTGTCGCCTATAAATGCGCCAGGCGAGGTGCCGCATGTATTGGGCTGGAGGAGGCTTCATCTAGCAAGGCCTTGGATGCTCACTCTAAACGAACTGTCTGTAATGAAGAGTGGATGCGATCCCGAGCTCATGGTCGGGTACTTATTAGATCAAGGTCCTTGTATGCGGGCCATTCTTAAGACTGTTGGACAAAACTCGTCTTGCATTCTCAGAGATGTAGCCAATGCCGGTTTCTCGCACTATGGCCTTGAAAAGGTGCGATTTTGTCATTGCCAAAAAGAAATGGCAGTGCTCACTCTTTTCCTTTCTTTTCCCCCTCTCTTGTGTCGACTCAGATTACGTAGATCTCCCTGAAACTTAACGGACACGGATTCTCATCTTTGCAAGTTATAGCATACCCTCCGCCTCTAATGGCTCCCAGTATGCCCAGTCCCAAGCTCAAGACCGAAGTCAGGCTAACGCTCCGGAGTCCGCAGGTCAAGCACTTGACCTCTCCAAGATGTCCCGACCCATCATCATTTCTGGGCCTTCAGGCGTCGGCAAAGGAACCCTAGTTCGAAAGCTCTCCTACGCACACCCCAATACATTCGGATCAACTGTTTCCCACACGACGCGCCAGCCGCGGGCCGGCGAAGTCGAGGGCCTAAGCTACTACTTTGTCTCCCAGTCCGAGTTTTCCTCTCTCGTCTCCAAGAACGCCTTTGCAGAACACGCGTTTTTCGGTGGCCACTTGTACGGAACTAGCAAGCAGACCATTACAGACCAGAAGACGGATGGATTAGTGGCCGTACTAGACATCGAGATGGAAGGCGTCAAGCAGATGAAGGCCGACCTGGGCATTGATGCTCGCTACGTCTTTGTCAAGCCGCCAAGCTTCGAGGAGCTCGAGCTGCGACGCAGGCGCCGCGGCACAGAGAATGAGGAGGACATCAAGAAGTGGCTGGCCCGGGCCAGAGCTGAGGTTGAGTACGCCGACACGCCGGGCGTTCATGATATCTCATTGTCAATGATGATGTCGAGAAGGCGTACCAGAAGCTTGATGAGTTTATGCAGGCCGATAACATGATTGAATATTAGAAAGACGGCCCGACGGGACCGGGAAGCTCTCCTCTACGCCGCCCAGAAGAAGAATGCACCAGGAGTTACTGGCCTGGATCTGTGAGCAAGCCTATTTTGAGCGAGGAATGCCTTGCGCAAAGGAGCAACTCATTTGGTGACAGTGATAGTTGGTGGCGTGACCCATGCCCGCACTGTTGGTCGTAGGAAGTCGGTCCAAAAAGAATGATTCTCTTTACCTTGGGGCATTTTAGGCAGAAACATATGGTGCACTTTGACCTGGCCAAGCACACTTGAGTGTTGGTGTTGGACTCGAGAAGAACTGCAGGCCGTGACAAACTAGGCAGGTGGACAACATGTGCATTGTTCTGAACGAATAGAATAATGCCTTGTGAAACTCATGTGTTGGCGGCAAAAGGCCGTAGTCGGCCGAGTGAGTGCACCAACGCTATTCTCCCTTCCCTCGACTGGTCGTCCACTCCCAGATTTACATCCATCAGCGACATGCAAAAGATACCTCAGCTCAAGACATACTTTGATGAAATCGAAGAGACCAACGGTGACGACGAGTGCAGAGCCTGGCTAGACAAAGTCTTCGATGCCAAGGCCGAACTGGCAACATTCGTCGCTAGCCGTCGGAAAGGAGGTCCAGCCACAGAATATGTCGGCTTTCTCAAGGGCTCCTTCAACTTCAGCTTCCGGTTTAGGTTCGGCGACGGAGGCCCAGACGCAATTATTCGATTCCCAAAGCCCGGACACACGGCTACGGCGCTGAGGGACGAAAAGGTCGCAAACGAGGCCCTGGTCATGGAATACATCAGCCAAAACACCACGATTCCTGTCCCTCATATTCACAGCTGGGGCCTCACCGCAGAGAGTCCGCAGAAGTTTGGCCCGTTTATCATAATGGACTTCGTCGAGGGAACCCTCTTGTCGACGGTCCTCAAACAACCCACCAAGAGCGACCAAGAAGATCCAATTTTAAACCCAGACATTGATACCAAAGCGTTGGATACCATCCATCTCCAAATCGCAAGTTACATTCTTCAGCTCTCTCAACTGCCATTCACTCGCATTGGTGCCATCTCCAAGGAGCACGGTTCAAATTCGTGGTCAGTCACCAAACGGCCCCTCACATACAACATGAATGAACTGGCAACCGTCTCGGGTTGTCCAGATGACCGTTTCCCAAAAACAACGTTTAACAGCACAAGCGATTATCTCCAATCCCTCGCCAAGCAGCACCTAGATCATGTTTGGGCTCAGCGCAACATTGCCGACGACCCTGAAATCGCCCAAGCACGGTTTCTTGCTCGCCGTCAGTTTGCCCGTCTTGTCCCAAAGTGCAGCACTCATGACACTGGGCCATTTCTGCTCTTCTGCGACGACATGCGGCCGTCCAACATGCTTGTCCATCCGGAAACCCTGCAAATAACCGCAGTGCTCGATTTCGAGTTTACAAATGCGATGCCGGCACAGTTCACCTACGACCCGCCGTGGTGGCTGCTGCTATCTGGTCCAGAGGCGTGGCTCGATCGCGGCTCTATAGAGGAATTCCGCACCCTTTATACGCCCAGGATGGAGCAGTTTCTTCGAGCCTTGGAACAGGTAGAAAGCGCGTCCCTATCTACGGGCACGGAGCCGACTGGACCGCCACTTTCCTCTCGGATGCGTGATTCGTGGAGGGATGGCGGGTTCTGGTTCAACTATGCAGCGAGAAAGAGCTTTGAGCTGGATGCCATTTACTGGGCCGTATTGCATCATGGGAGTGCTGAATTTTCTCTCCAGGAGGACGTTGCAGAGATTGACAAGTTTACGCAGACAAAGATGGCGCAGCTGAAGGCCTACAAAGAGGAGTGTGATGCTCGTTTGCCTAAGCAAGCGGTTGAGAATACATGCTGTCTGTTTGCTTCGAATGTCTGCGCAAAGACCAAGGAGGGCAGGGTATTCCTGGTTTGGGCCTGCGGGTGACGGTTCTTGCGGGAATTCCCGTGCTGCCAACGTAAAATACACTATTCAGATCCACGGCATTAGAATTGAGATGGGACAGCGCACACAAGGCCAAGACGGAACGCTGGAGCTCGCGTCGCACCCTTATTTCCTAACCCAATATCAGAGACAGCAGCTATTCAGATACGAACTTCATAGGCCTTTTAAGACCGATATACGTAGATTGCGGCACGACGTCTTTACTTGAATTTGGGCAGTAATGTTCAGCCACGAGTTTAAAAAGCAGCACCAGCTACCGCACGCCACACAAGCCACATTGTCCCTCCACTGGAGCTCCAAATAAAAAAAACCCAATTCCAATAAAAACCATGTCCAACACCAGTATACAATTTCAAAGAGAAACACTTCCAAAAGCGACTCAAAATCCTCCACGAGGGCGAATTCCTCCCTAAACGTCGATTCGTTCACAAGAGACACATCTCAGTATCAGCCAGCCATGCCCCTCGACACATCCACATACTCGCTCGCCCTCCTGCGCGTGGACGGCCGTCGCTGGAACGAACTCCGCCGGCTTCACGCCCAGATCCGCACACAGGATGCCGCCGACGGATCGTCGTATTTCGAAATGGGCCACACAAAAGTCATGTGCGTAGTGACGGGCCCGTCAGAGCAGCAGCAGGCGCAAGTGCAAGCGCAACGGCGAGGCGCACAGGCGTCGGGCCGTGACGCCGCTTCCATCATTGTGAATGTTGTCATTGCTGGATTCTCAAGTGTCGACCGCAAGAAGCGCGGGCGAAACGATAAGTGAGTCCTTTCTTGAATCCCAATGGCTTGTGCCAGAACAAAAAGAAAAAAAGAGAGGGAGGGAGGGAGATAGAGCACCGCGCGCTGACGTGGCGAGGGTACGGTAGACGTACTCAAGAGATTGAAATCACCATTGCCAAAGCGCTTTCCTCCACCGTCCATACACATCTCTTCCCGCACTCTTCCATCACGGTGTCGCTGCACGTCCTGTCACAGGACGGCTCTCTCCTCGCCGCCCTGATCAACGCCGCGACTCTTGCTGTCATTGACGCCGGTATCCCAATGACTGACTATATTGCTGCTTGCACCGCCGGATCGACGTCTTCTTATGCCGCCGGCGACGATTCCGCCGATCCTCTGCTCGATCTCAACAACCAGGAGGAACAGGAGCTTCCCTTCCTCACGGTGGCGTCGCTTGGCGACAGTGATCGTGTTGTCGCTCTTGTCTGCGAGAGCCGCGTCCAGGTCAGCCGTCTAGAGGGCATGCTCGTCGTTGGCTTGGACGGGTGCAAGCAAGTCAAAATGTTTCTCGACAAAACTATCAAGGACAGGGGAGTCAAGATGATCAAGGAAGGCGCTGTACAGCGAAGCGATACTATGGCCATGGAGTTGGATGAGTAGATGGTGTGCGCAAGCCCATTAAGCTGCGAAATTTTCCGTCATTTATGCGTAAGCACAGGAAGCAAGTTGGTACAATGCTTGATACATAATCATACTAGACTGCCATGGGACTAACTTGACATCGAACCCTCCAGATTTACACACTTCCGATTGCTATTTACTAGAGCTCTTCATGCTTGACCTCGTCTGCTGGCGCCGGTTCTTCAGCGTCCGTCTTTTTGTCAGATTCCTCTTCGACAACTTCCTCCGCCGCGATAATCTCCATGGGCAACTTTCTCTTGGCCCCTTCGCCCATACGAATGGCGTCAAGCCATGCTTCAACGCTCTCAGCGTCAAAGTCACCCTCGTAGTGTCTCCACCAAGAGCGTCGGGCATTAACCGCGATTAGCTCCACGTCCTCTTCCAGCCCGAGTGCTTGTCGGATCGAATCCAACCCTTCAATATTGCTGGGGATGGCGAGAAAGGGGAATAGCTGCCGGTGACCGTGGATGTATTTGGTGTTGAGTTTTGACAGGGAGTCAGTGACTTTAGCACTGTTTTCGGAGGCATCAACCGGGATAAAGGCCAGGACACAGGTGTGAGATGTCGAACTCAGACACTTCTCGACAAGAGTGTCCTTGGCGGTCACGGTGGTAATGGAGATGACATCAGGAGTCGAAGCTGCGGGTTCGGTTGCGTCCGTCTGGGTAGAAGCCTCTGGAGTTGTGGCCGAATCCTCGGTGTCGGGTGAGGCAGAGGAGGAAGCCTTCGTCTTTTTGTCCTGAGCTTTTTCCGACTTGGGGGCCTTTTTATTGTCACTCTTGACCTCGGGCTTGGCCGGGGCAGGATCAGGATTAGGCTGTCCAACCTGCTTCAGGAAGGCAACCATGTCCTTCTTGTTTAAATCGCCATCATAGATGATAGGTTCCTTGTCGCCACCCGGAAGTAGCACAAATGTAGGAAACTTTTTGATTCCAAACTTTTCCACCGTCTTTTCCTCCTTATTGCGCACCTGGGCAACGGAAATGACACCCAAAAAGTCAATGGCAAGGCATCGCAACAAAGCGCTAGTAGTTCCCTTATCCGTGAACAAGATTGCCTTGGGTCCCTGGGGCTTCAGGAAGGCGTCCAAGTCCTTGTCGGTGACTTTGGTAACATGGTTGTTGATCTTGCTTACGACAGCCTCCACAATAGCTTTAGCAGTTCGGGCGCCCTGGTAGTCTTCGACAACGGGCTTACCGTCAGGCTTCTTCCCAGGACGAACGATCTTGAGGGTGGGGAAGCCCTGGATGCCCATCCTACTGCAGAGTTGCTTGTTCATCTCATTGTCGCAATCAATAGCGGCGACTTTGGCAAGCCCCTCAAGCTTCTTGGCGGCTTTTTCATAGGCAGGCTTGAGATTTTTGCAGTGGCCGCACCAGGGTGCGTAGAATTCGACAATCTGTGGGAAATGTGAGCAGGCTTATACGAGAGGGAAAACGGGGTTTACTCGGGCGACAGCAACCGCCATTGTAGGACCAGGGGAGTAACGCACAGAAGTGTGGTTTGATTTAGCAATTAGAGTATCATACGTTTTCTCATTGACCTGGAGAACTGGGGAGCTTGTGGTGTACATGGCGTGTATACTGGGAACTGCAGCCAGCAAGGCTGTCAGGCCAGCGACGGCACCAGGGGGAAGCATGATTGAGTGAATGGCAGATGAGAAGATGCCTGTGCGCGAAGGAGAATTCGAAAGAAAAAAAAAATTATGTCGTAATGAGAGCAGACCCTGGCCAATTTGGTGGATGTGGCGGGGCTCAGTATTTATGTTGTGTGCAAAAGACGAAGTAATATGGCTTGATGCAACACCGTGGCATGAAAAGGGAAAAAAGGCCACGGTGTAGCTGTTGGTGGTGGTGGTTGTTTTGGTGGTCTGGAGGCTGTCGATAATAGTGGCAGGAACCAGACACTTGACGTGCCCAGCCACATGTGGCCCGAGTCTCATCGGTAAGCTCAGTGGCAGAATGGGCAGCACGGTGCTGTGGCGCGAGCTCCAGAGTCACTTCTATGCTCAGGCACCGGGCGTCAACGGCCGCGCACATCTGGTGGGGCCCATCCAGGCTCAGTTCGAGACGCTTGATATGTTGCGGAACATCCAGAACTAAAGCATCTCAATTTGTCTCCCTCTTCCCACCACTACTGACACTGACTTATGGCAAGAAACATAATTTGACGTGGCTTTCATTCGCCTCTAGTCCTGGTGTTCTCTTGCATGGTTCTACATTTTGCCAAAGCCTCCAACCGAGCTAGCCATGAGCGCCGAGCCTCTGCCCCCGCCTCTCAAGATCCCCGAGGTCAGCCGGTTCATCAACCGCGCAAACCAGCTGCGCACAATTAAACCTGCCATAGCATATTGGTGTAAGCTTCTCTCTCGCATGCGCGACATGCATGTAGCCATAATTAGCCCGAGAAACTAGGCATCCTGACACCTGCCGCAGGCGAGTACCATGCGGTCAACCAAATCGTAACCAAAAGCCTCCACACCACCGACGACGATTGCTTCGCATACACAAAAGGCTTGATTGAGCGCTTGGAGGCAACCAAGACCGAGCGCGCAGATGACGAGGCCATTGTGGATAACACTGCCGGCCAGGCATACGTCGAGCAGTTTGCTCAGGAAACATTCAGTCGAGCCGAGAGGACCCTGCGAGCCAACAAGGTCTCAAGGTACGTGTAGCCGTCTGGATCCCATGTCCTATTGTCATGACTGTACCCCGCGAGCAATGGAGCTGACCAAGCGTAGACAGACGGCAGATACTTTTGATGCGGCCGCCACCTTTTTTGACCTTATCCATGAATGGGGTACCCCCGAACCCGAAATCCTCAAAAAGATCAAGTTTGCGAAATGGAATGCCGCGCGCATTCTGAAAGCCATACGGGAGGGCAAAGACCCCAACGAGACCAACCCTCAGGTCCAAGACGACGAGGGCCCCGAACCAGTTCTCAGCCCTACCGACCCGGCGGTTCAGCAAATAATGAGCCCGCCAGTTGCGTCTGTAGAAGACGCTCCTGATGACGGGGAACCTCCTATTGCGCCAGTCCAAGAAGGTTACTTCCCACCGGCCACTGCCCATCCGGAGCCATTTGTCCCTTCACCGTTGACTCGGAGTCCCGGTCCGCCAGCTTCGGTAATGCATCCTCCGCCGCCGCAGAATATCCCTCCGCAACCGTCTCCTCAGATACCCACGAATCTACCATCGCAGTTTGCGCCGCCGCCTCCCGAGCCCTCTGCTCCCACGCCTTTTGCATGGAACAACACACCTAGTGCACCTCCTCCGTCCGCGCCTACTCACCAATATGTACCGCCTCCCGTGGCGCCAGCGCCGAGCGCGCCCGCGGGCTTCACACCCGGCCATAAGAGCATTGAGCAGGCGCAAAAGCATGCCAAATGGGCCATATCAGCGCTGAACTTTGAGGATGTGCCTACGGCGGTCCAAGAATTACGGAACGCTTTGGCGCTGCTGGGTGCTCAATGAGGTGGGGAGGTAGACCAAGTTTATATTGTAAGCAATTGCCAGTTTCCCAGACGGGGGTAGATGTGTGTGCTTTTGGAATACTTGATGTGGTAAAGCATGTCGACTTTAGTAATGAATGTTTCCCTTAGCAATGAATTTATCAACTGGACCGCACTCCATATCAAGCAAATGTAGTATGTTCAGTAGTATAGACAACAGCTACAGGGATATCAAAGTTGTTTGACGGGATCACGTCTCTACCAGCAAGAGATGCATCAACTATCCACCAAGCGTCAAGTCTCGTTGCCAACACCACGTTTGATTCATACACCTACTATACAAATTATCTATTTTCGTTCATTGCCTGTGCAGTCATTCCCTCTGTCCGCCCCTGGCTAACAAAATGCGAGAAAATTCTATGTGCGGAATGCCCACCGCATGACTTTGTCCGATAAATGATTAAAAAAAAAAAACTTGTCAACAAAACGTATGTTTTCAAGTTGAACCTCCTTTTTCATCTCTCAACATCTGTGGGAATCCTGCCTCTGCTATATATGTCTTTTTCTCAGGTTGTGCTACAATTACAAGTTAGATGATGAGACGCGAGACACGCCGTGTGTTCGAGTCGGCGGGTAATTGTTTTATGCCTTCTTTTCAGCACCAGCAGCGGCTGAGACGCTAGGCTTGGGTCCAAACCAGCCGGAGAAGGAACCCATCATACTGTTCATGGCCTCCTGTTGGGCCTTCTCCATGGCGGCCTGCTCTTCTTTGAGCCACTTCTCGCCGTTTTCGCGGATTTCCTTCTCCAAAAGCTCGTAGTTGCGCTGCCCTCGCTCTCTAGCAATGTCCTGCAACATCTTGCCTTGGGCAAAGGCCTGTGATGGGTTCTGCTCGCCTTCGGGAGCCATGGTCATGCTCATGTTACTGGATTTCAGTCCGAGAAGGTTGCTAAGCGCCCCGACACCGGATCCCTTGGAGTGTTTCTTCTTTTGCTCCAGCTGCTTGTTGAATTCCTTCCTTGCAATGGCCTCACGTCGGGCGAATTCGGTAGGGATGTGCTTGCCCTCGAACGACTTCAGAACCTTGCGCACATCCGAGTACTGCATCGTGTGGATGTATTCGAGAAAAGGGATCAACCCAACGAGATCATTGTCCTTGGGGTCCCCCTTCCAAGGATCCAATATAATGGCGTTCTCCGGCTGCTTGCGGACGTGCTGCGCTTTAGTGTCAATAATGATGACCTTGGAGAGGTCTCGGTTAAGGTACGACAAGTCCTGTTCAAAGTATGAGTTGATGCTCCTGTACAAACATTTGTCTTTGAACTTGCCTTGACAATCTCGCCGTCCTCATACTTGGTGGCTTCGCGGTACAACGGCCACATGATGAAACGGAAGGGATCCAACTTGCGGACGATGGGCTCGCCCATAGCAAATGGAACAGTAGTGAAGAGAACCAACTCGTAGTACTGGCTGAGATATCGAACAAAGTAGTCCAATCCCGGTCGCTTAGCTACTCTCCAGCCGTGGTCTCGTGTCCATTCGCTGTGTACTAGGAGGTCGTCTAAGCTTAGGCAGAGAGTGTATGGTCGCTCGAAGCTGGGATCGGGGTCTGGGAGCAATTTGTCGAATGCCGGATCTTGGTAATAGGATACCGACTCGCCCATACGGGCTCTGGCTCTCTGCCACCACAGCGTGGGACTCCAACCATTGGGGATATCGCTATGGCGCTCGGCTTCGATAGCATCATCCCAGTCACGACCCATGTAAAGAACCCCAAAGGATCCTCCGGCGGCGGCGGCGACCAGCATAAACCGTGCCCACCATTTTCGGTTGCGGTCGCTCGTCGACACATACTCGGGGCGCTCCCGCTTGCCACGGCCCTCGGATTCTTCTTCCTGCTCGACGGCTTCAAGAGCAGAGTGGGCCTGGCCCGACTGTTTGCGCAGTTCTGCGTCCAGGGTCGATGGAATACCCTGCGTCAAATCAGGAAGTTTGTGGAAAGGGATCGGATCAGCCTCTTTTGAAGGCTGGGATGATTCGGCGTCCGTTTCATTAGAGGGCGAAGTGTTCTGCGAGGCAGCGGGTTTGGAGTCGGCTTTCGGTTGCGTGGACGGATCGGATGACTCTGGCTGACTCTGGCTTTCGCTCCCGCCAATTTTCTTGTTGTTGCTGGCAAACGACCGCATCCAGGGGGAGACTGATACGACTGTCTGTCTAGTCCGTAAAACCGGCGATGCAGCGGACTGTGACAATTGAGCAGCCAACATGCCCAGGCGCGGGGCGCGGGCTAATCTCGACAGCATCTTGACAGACTGATATCGCAATGAGCGTAATGGGTAGATGGTTAAAATGTATAGTCAGCTTTCACAAGCTCAGCATCCCATAGGCGACCTGATTGTCGTGTCGTGTGATGCCGGAATTGAGCAGCTCTGGTAACAAGAGCCGGGGAGCTTGAGAGAAGTCGAGAATGTTCCTTTTTTTTCCCGGCTTAGACTGGAGGCTGCAGGTCAAATGACTTGACTGGTGTGTGCGCGCGTGCGATGACATGGCGGCTCTTTGCTCACTGAAATTTCATGAGAGCGCGACCCGCAAATATTTAGCCGATGTTTAAACGTGCTTCCATGTCCCATTTTGGTTGTTGGTGGGGCCCGATTTCGCCCTGTAAGTTAGGATATTACTCCGTACTCCGTAAATGATTTGAGATGCCTTTTAATAACTCCTGCGCATGCCCTTTCCCTGCTCACTGGCTGTTTATCGAAACCCGGCAGCTTGGTGTTGACGACCAGATATGGCTGGTTGTAATTCAGACCAAAGAGAAGAGGCTCGCTTGCTACGCCGAGGGCACCCAAGGCCAAGGTGTCGTCAGCCGATTTCGCTCCAATATAAAACTATCTTTTGGATACCAGGCATACAGCTGTAGGCTGTTAGACGGGTAACATGGCTGCATGTGCCTCCTGCAACTGCGTGGCGTGTGACGCTTGTCTTCAAGACTTGTCTTGGCAACTGTCTCTCCCATTGGATGACGGCATCTTGGTCGAGATGCAATGGGCGGCTGGGCGTTCCTGAGCACACCCTGCATCTGTTCGTCTTCCCCTCATCCCTGGTTCAAACATCACGAGACCAGATACCCCTTCTTAGAACTGGTTCCAGTTGCAATTGGCTTGGACCCTGTCTTTATCACCTTTCTCCGTACAATACTGAGCATCGCCCAGCATCATCATGCATGCGTGTGCCGCATTCTAGAGGGTGGTCTCCCGAGAGTCTTTGCGACTTCGCCATGGCACCACCCTCTGTCAGCCAACTCGCAACCCGAGCCTTCCACAGATCACAACCGACCCTGTCGCGCTGAACATTTGACGAACGCCAATCTGTAACTACTTTGATCCCATTCGCTCTCACGTCTTTTCAAAGAAACGACTTCTTTCTCTTTTCGACCGCCCGCATTAGCAGCGATTCGAGTTTGCGCCCAAAGTCGCCACATATCACAGCCTACTTCTCAGCGGAGCAGTCACACCGAATACCACACCTACTATCCGGCTATGCCCAGACGACCTGTCAGACGAGGCTCAAAGCCTCTCACGGGCTTCACGTCGCGCAATGCGACGCCAACATCTTCCACGATGACTACGCCGCTGAGTTCGGCATATCCGTCAACATATGCGTCCGAAGTTGAAGTCGACGACGTCAGCCAACTCCAAATTGCCTCCTTGACGCTGGATACGCCCCTCATACCACTAAGGCGGAAGAGCCGCGCTCCGGAAAAGCCCTTCCGCTTCCTTGAATTGCCATCCGAATTGCGTGTCAAGGTCTACGAGCACTACTGGAGCCATGCCGAGAAGGTTCTGGACCTCGACCCCGGCAATCATAAAAGATACCACAGGGCACTGGGCCTTGTTCGTACATGTAAACAGGTTCGTGCGGAAGCAACGCATTTCTTCTTCAGCTCCCGAGCCATTCGTCTCTTCCCCACCTTTCCGGGCAAATATTTCAAGTCAAGAAAGCCGCTCCTGGCTCGCCTGAAACCGAGCCAACGTCGATGCATCACGTCGCTGGAGCTCCGGCTCGGACCTGGCTGGAACGCTCCTCCCAGAGGGTGGGTAGTCAACGACGCCCTTGGTCTGAAAGACTGCAGCAACCTTCGCAAATTGACCGTGTATGTTGAATGCGACCCGAGCGATGGCATCTACGAAGGGTTCCGTCGATCGGATGGCTTTTACGAAGGTTTCTGCAGGAACTTGCTTGGCAATGTGCTCAGCGAAATCCCCAGTCACGTCGCCATTGAGTTTGAGGGTTATCCGGGTGTCAAGAAGTCTGGCGCCATGATGCGGGGTCTGCTCGAAGTCGCTGCTCAGTCAAAGCGGAAAATCCTCTGGGGGCCTGAACGAGGATGGACGGACGGGCCCGAGAAGGAGGAGAAGCGCAATGATGACCCCGCGGCTCAGTTATTCGATGGTATCCCTAGGAAAGGTTACGCACCTCACAATATGCTGGTTGTAGCGTAGCGCATTGAATTGAGTACTGTTGTTGTATTGATTCATGAGTGTAAATGGACACGTTCGCTGGATTTGGATTCGGGATGGGAATGGCGGATGGAGCTGGGACTCGTGTCTTGTAGGCGAGACGCATGGCTTCCTGGTATCTCTCTGCTCACTCGTCCAAGCAAAACAGCTGCGACGCATATCTCTTTGTTATCTAGCTATGCCGTAAGAAGCTACTACTCATTATACCACGTACACATAGCTGGTCTTGATCCGGTCACAACATCCACCAAGTACTTGAATTCGTGGCCCTTGAGACTGGACTCAGTGTCTACCAGCGGCGGCTTTTGCAGCGTTCGCAGACGGGGTTGGTGATGCATTGGAAATACCTAGCTGAAGTTAGTCTTACACCCACACGTAAGATGAAACGAGGCAGCATACTCTTCGCTCTCTTTATCCTCAATGCCCGAACAGTCGCAGAACTGGGGACAAGCGTCTGTGGGCGCCCCAAGGGAGGAAGTTGTCGTCGTACTGCTAGAGGCAGAGCTTTTCGAAATCGTGCTTGAAGCAGTCGTCTTGGTAGCCAAAGCTGCTGCGTTTGTGGAATGGCATTTCTCGCAGTCCGGATTGGTGAGGCACTCGAAGAATCTGCTTCTGGTCAATGGCCATCGCCTCCTGACACGATGAGCATAGCTTTTTGCGGGGAAAGGGGCAAAAAAAAAAAAGAAAGAAAGAAAGAAAGGAAGCAAAAGGGAAAAAAAAGAAAAGGAAAAGAAAAGAAAGAAAAGGGAAGAAAAGAAAACCTACTCCTTACTGTCCTTATCCTCGACCTTGGAGCAGTTACACCGTCCATAGCAATCATCATCCACCGTCGCAGTCGAACTAGATTTACTTGAAGTCCCGGTAGATGCCGGCGATACGGTAACTACCACCGTCTCCGTCATGGTTACGAATACTTGCGTAGAAGAGGTAGGAGTGGCGATTTCCTGGGTGACAATGATATTAAGCACCGTACCGTTGGTCGTGATGGTGTAGGTGCCGGGCGACATGGTGCGATAGTTGGTGATGGAAAAGCTGGTGGCATTTGCGACGAAGGTCTTGGACGACGAGGACGTCGACGTGGTTGATCTGCCGACCCAACATAGTTCACAATTTGGATTGGTGACGCATTGAAAGTATCTAGCCGTGGTCAGTGTGGTTCTGCAAGTATGGGTAGGCGCATGGTACGAACTCGTCGCTATTCTTGTCGGGTATTCGGGAGCAATCACAGACGCCGTTTGGAGCGCACTCGCCTGCACCTGGGAGAGATGTGGCAGTAGATTGGGTGGTCCCTGGCCAAGGCGAGGAGCTTGTGTTGGACTTGGGGCATATTGCTGCGAGTGAGCCGGGCCTCGGGGCAGCGTGGGTATGGGTGAAGATGGCGATGATGCAAGTCAGAAGGCTGGGTAGATACATGTTGGTGGTTTGGCTACTTGAAGAGAAGGAGAAGGGATCTAGTTTGCAACGTAGTTGGATGACGAGGAAGCTTCGTTGTTGAGACTAGAGAAGACATCTCGCTTTATAGTTGTTTCTTTCCCTGTTGGTCATGACGAAGACTCGTAGTCTTCCTCCCGTCGTCCAAAGAGCAATGGCCGCATCGCAACTTTGTGTTTCGTATCACCGAGAGTCTGTTGCGGTGTGACGTCGGAGCAAACACGTAGTTCTGTGGCATTTTGAAGACTAGGTACGCAATGTAAAGAAGAATCAACTTGACACGTTTGCCTTTGACAGTCGGCTCCGTTGATGATAGGCAATGCTGGCTGGTGTTGCTGCTTCATGGTTGTCGCAAACTCTTACTCTTGAACCCTTGCAATGTAGCCTCTTGGAGGCCATGCAATGTTACAGGGTACAACATCGAGGACGCATAACCGAACCAGTTCATCGGCTTGCCGGCCATTCTTCCGTTTTCTAGTCGTACCGCCTTCTTGAATTACCATCTCACAAAGACCGAACCCTTCCCCTGCTTGTGTGCCAGTTTCTGCCCCAACCAGAAGCTGATTGACCGTGGTCTATGTGCAACCGTTTTCCCATCAAGTCCAGTTTATTCAAGAGAATAAAAAAAAAAAAAAAAAAAAAAAAAAAAAAAAAAAAAAAAAAAAAAAAAAAAAAAAAAAAAAAAAAAAAAAAAAAAAAAAAAAAAAAAAAAAGCCAACAACACAATCAATGCCTACACCACGCCGGGGTTGCACACGCCTGAGGAGCAAACCATGGACCCTTCATGAACGGACGCCTCGAACCATGCAAACAAGTCCCAAAATGGCAACGCTGCCAGTATATCGTACAAGAAGAAATTAGGCTAGTGTAAATGCTGTAAAATGCCTACCCGCATCCAGTCATGACTTTTCCAGGGGTTTTCCGTTCGGTACCGCCGCGTTCTTACGCGCCTGTCGCTTTTTCTCCCACTCCTTCAACTGCTGTTGTGCCCAAACAAAGGCTTGATGAAGACGAGCATCTACGTCGACGCCATTGGATTCCAAAACTGCGACCGCCACGTAAGATAATCCAAAAATTATTACGCCAAATATTATAAAATGTGTCAACCACCAGAAGTGTTGTCGTCCAAGAGGACAGTCGACATATTCGTGTTCCCATTCCCAAGTGTCGTGGTTGAACCACATGCTCAGAAGGCCGGCATTACCACCAAAGTCGCCCATCATGCTGCGCACGGTGATCTCTCGTCGTCCGGGATGCTGCTGCAACTGCTGAATGTTGGACATCCTCACATCTTGCCACTTGCGTGATTCCCACGATCGGTCATCGGGAGTGGTACCGTTTGTTTGGTTAACAAAGTGGTACGTGTCACAGCCCTCATGGTCGTGTCCGTTGAGGACAAGTCCAGGGCGGCCCATACCTTGCCCAGCGGCTTGAGGATCGCGGCTAACACCAAAAATGCCTTCAAGAAGACCTTTGCTGGCATCTGAACTTAGCAAGTATTGCTCCTTGACGCCTCCACCGTCATGGGCGCCATGGAAGTCGAAAAATGGTGCGTCGACACAGATACCAGCAGGCTTGTAGAGAGGAATATGGGTCAAAATCAACGTGAATTGGCCTTTGTATTCGACAGCACATGCCGTACCAATGGCTGCGTTGATGAAGTTGTACGTTGCGTCCTGTAACCCTTGGTCTTTCGCGGGTGTGTCCAAGTTCATGTCGTTCAACACAAGGATTCGCAGCTCGGGGGGTAGTCGCACGGATTCAGGGTTTGTTTCCGGATCTTGAATTGTAGCATTGGTCTCAGGGTCGGTAACGGGAAGTTCGAATCGTAGCTCGTAGTTTGCCTTGCCAAATACTCGCTCAAATCGTTCCATGCGCTCCGGGGTTAAGTCGCCAGCGTAGCCAATGTCGTGATTTCCAGCCACATTCATTATTCTTCTTTTCCAGACTTGTTCCGCCGCAGAACCGTCCAATATGCCGGACAGATTGTACTCGACATTGGGCCACATGGCTACATCATCAGGGACGCGCTCACCGCCCCGAAAGGTTCGATTCCAAAACCGTCGGCCTCTGCGTTCAAATTCGTCATCCTCGATCCACTGACTGCCTAAGAGATCCCCCAGAACTGTAACATGTGTAGGCTGCGTCCACCAGTGCAGGGTTCGGTAGATGTGCGCCAGATAGAAGTCGTTGCCGAACAGGTCGAAGCGTTTGCGCCACGACTCGAAAATAAAGGGGATATCCTCGAAGAAAATGTCGATGATGTCGTGTAGTATTATGCGCACTCGATCCCGGAGAGAGTCGTGCCATATTTGAAAGGTAAGCCGTTGAAAAATGGTCTTGACATGGGGGAAAATGCCCAAGTACGCTGTCGGGATGGACGTATCACCCTCGAGTTGGGGATCACCGAGGGCCAAGAGCCGAAATGGCGCCTGCTTGGTGGGCAACGCTTGGGCCTGCGCATTCGTCTTGGCGTCTGCGTACGGCCAGTGCAGCTTCTTGGTCTCCTCAAATGCGGCTTCAGGGTCTCTGGACGGCAGGGGAAATGCACATCTGCTGAAGAAAGGGTACAAGTACAGGTAGATGGAGCATGCGACGGCCAAGGGAACCAAGAGGCCGAAGCCATTGCGAAGGAAAGCCCGTACCAACATGGAGCCAGCTACATGCGCGGGCCACGAAGGAAACGGGGTATTCCTATAGCGACTTGGCAGCAAAAAATGCCGCGTAACGAAGAAATTGAGCGTCACTGCGGCAAAAGGAGGGTTGAGAAAGGGGCGCGTAAAGAGGCGCCTGTATCGCGGGTTCGGCTGCGGCTTAGTCAGGAATCTCTCAAGTGCAAGTCAGTCGGGCTCATAGGCCTGCCAGCTACCAGCACTACCAAAAGTGGAGAACTCTCCTGGTAGTGTCAATATAATGCTCGGCGCTCGCTATCGTGCCTCATATTACAGGGGCAACTGCAAATCCAAATGCGCATTATTTGACCGTCCAGGAAACGACGCACCGCAGTCGAGTCTTTGAAACAAAATGTTGTCAAATCTCTGGCTTCTCTGCGTCCTCGTTTAGCCGCTCTGTGAGCAAGGCCTCCTTATTTGCAAGTCCGGCCTGCGACGGACCGATCACGATGAAGTCACGACCAGCTGCCTTCGCGGTCAGATGTCCTGTTCAATTATTTAGTTCTGCAGAATTTTAACGCCATGATGCATGCGACTCTCATTTCCGGATCACCGCTCTTACCTGAGCGTAGTCTCCATCAAAGCCATGGCAAGAGGTGGCCAACTAATCACCCTTGGCCTGGCGGCCGCGCTACAGAGTCATGAGCTGGCTCCAATGAAGATTGCTGAATGAGGTGCAAAGGTCGCAAGGTGAGAGTTGTCACAGTCGGTGTACAAGTAGTTGCCGTTAGTGTTGCGCCGTCACAGTATATTGAAGCCATCATTGAAAAGGCCAAAGGATCATGCTAAATGCTTGTCAAGATTGGCGCTTTATTACGCAATGTTGGCGAGTAGCGTCATTGAGCATGACCTAGTCGCTGGCTGAACCGACCTTGTCTAGATATGTCGTGGAGTATGAAAGCAGTCGTGAAGCAGTCATGACAAGTAGCTTGGTGGAAGTGACCTTCCGAAACAACTGTTGATATACTATCTGCACTACCCGAGCGATCTTGCGGAAGGAGAGATACAATAAATGGAAAAAATGGTACGTCTATTTATTCGTCTTCTTCTTGACGGCGACTCCGTTTCGTACCTAATTCTAAAATCTAAACATAGAAGAATATACAACAAGATACATGATCAAACGACGAGCTGGTAGCCACATCTTTCTGCCCTGGTTATCACGAGTCATCCCAACAAGGAACCGGTCCTGCGCCCCACGGTTTCCTGGAAGACGGTCGCTCCCAAGGGCATCTGCTCGTCGTCGTTTAGGCCTTGGGCTTAGGCTCATGAGCATCGAAGCACTGCTTGGAGGAAGTGAACTTGCGGTCGGTGACATTCTTGATGTTATCAAAGGCTTTGCAGTACATTTCGGTGCCGCAGTCCTCATCGGTGAACTTGCTTGAACCGCAAAGGCTTGCGAACTGTCCTGGCTCTCTCCAAGGCAAAGGCTCGGGCTCGTGAGCAGCGAAGCACTGCTTGGAGGAAGTGAACTTGCGGTCGGTGACGTTCCCAATGTCGTCGAAAGCTTCGCAGTACATCTTGGTGCCGCAGGCCTCATCGGTATACATGCTCGAGCCACAGTTCGCTGAAAACTGTCCTGGCTTCAGCCAAGGCAGCTTCCCATCATTCTTTTCTCCCACGGGCTTTTTCTGATCAACGGCGGGGACAGTCTCAGGTTCACAGCCATCGGCGGGAGCGGAAATTGCAGCGGCAGCCGCCGTGCCGATCAATCCAAAGATAAGAGAGCTCTTCATATTGTATAAGAATGCGGCGTTTGCAGTACGTTTGAACTTGAAGAGGCAATGTGAGAGATGATGAGATGATAAGGTATGTCTCCGAAGCTCTTGTCAGAGCTGAGACATATATATATTCGAATATACGTGAGTGTGCGCGTACTCGTGTGCGCCTCGAGCAAGTTGGTGTCATGATTGCGCATTGTTTCCACAAGTGCCTCCACTCGTAGTCGCGCTCATAGATGTTTCTATACGCATAAAATATGAGTGGAATAGCATGGCGCAGTAACAGGAGAGTTGTTGTGCATGGAACGTTGCCAGCGGATGAAACAGTGAAACAAGCGCATTAAAGCTACCGTGACACGCAATCAGGTCAAGACTCCTCTACTTCTTTCTACTCGTCGATCCACTGCTGGCGCTTGATCAATGCTCCTCCTTCCTAATTTCCTTGCTTTTGATTTCCAATTCAGCGGCTCGTGTGGTCTATCCATTCAATTGATGGTTAATTATGCTCCACGCGGCCATTTCATTCTTGTCGCGAACCGCCGCTAATGGATGGTTACATGGTTCTATACCACGATACCACGGGGTCGAACAGTCACAAATTGCGATGAACACTGGGCCGAGTGCCAGAGTAAGCGAATAGACATATAATTCTGCATCGAAATCTAACCGGATCTTGTTGCATTAAAGTCTGTTGCTCTGGCTAAGATAGGCTCTATGTCTGTTGAGACAGGTGCCCGGCGCGTGAGACACCCGAATAAAGCTAACATGTGGCCATGTGCGCGGATGGATTGATTATTGATTATTTTTTGATTAATTTGATGTTAATTAAAATTTAATTGACAAATTAAAGTTTTTCAAATTAATTAAATTAACCAAGTGTCACGAACAGCGGCAAGCATTTTCCCGTGTATCCTGCCAGAGGAAAGCGACTAGGAACAACGAATTACTCAGTCGCATGAGATGACCAATATCGGACGTCATGCGGATTCGGGCCACATAACCAGCGGGTATGGATAATGCACAGCCTTGTATGTGAAACAGTTGGCTGCCCTTTTTATCAGGGGCGTTCAACTGCGTCTCTCTCTCTAGTAGCTCCATCAAGCATTTGTATCAAGTAAAGACTCTTGGTATGATGTAGCAAAGGTGCTTTCGTATTAGATGATGGATTCATGAATCAGTCGTTCTCATGCAGATGGGTTACCCGGTGGAAAATCCGCCAATTACGAACTAGGGACTGTTGACGAAGCTGAGCCAAGGTTCATTAATGCATTAATTGGTGCGCTCCTTGAACCAAAGGTCTGGTACTTTTTTTTCTTTCTTTCTTTCTTTTCTCTTTTAAATTGGAAGGGGGAAATGGTCACGGCCTTTTACGTATACCCAATTCGTTGGCTCTGGGCCCTTCTACAGTTTTTGGCAGAATAAATTTGCCCACCAAGAAGCATCCCCATAAATACTAAACTATATATAAAGAGCCTGATAGCCAGGTACCTGATCTGATTAAATAATTTTTGCCTCCTGCTGTATATGCGAAAGTGTTGGGCCTAATTCTTTCGCTATCCCCAGGAACCTGTTTGTCTGTCGCGTGATTCGGAACTCTGTCGCTGGCCAGATTCGTCAACTTGAACTTTGCCATCGCATTATTCAACGACTTGGACTGACGGCTTAGCCTCTATGCGGTCATAATCTCCTCTAAAAATGCTTGAGTCCAGTTGCTCCGGCCGTCTGCACTCAAGAAATCCGGGGTAGTGGTATTGAGATTGACTACTTCTCTCTGCCGTGCTTTGCGCCCGACAGCCGTTTGATTACGTGCCTTTAAACGAATTACTGCTACCTTGGCTCAACAGACTGGCTGGCTCTGCAATATCTGGAGAGCCGAAAATAAAGCAAGAAGAAGACGTCTCAGCCGGTAGTATATGCTTAACGGAAATAGCCTCTAATCCATTTGATTTCTTTAAACGTGCCAAATGTCTTCCACCAACACTTTCCACTTTGAAAAGCTTCCAACTTCGACTTCTAGACGATGTAACCCAAGGATGAGATTCTATACAGAGGATTTAAACAAACAAGAAGACATGGAGATACAATGTTAGCCAAAAGCATTGTCTCATTGTCTACAATATTCTGTCCACTTCTGCTCTGGGACATGCAGTGTTTTAATAACAGGTTTGATCGAGAAACCTTTCATGAAGTGCCTTCTCCCTTGTCTCCGTAGTTTGAAGTTTGAATTGATTGAGAAGCAGTGGCTCTAATCAAATTTTAGTAACATTTGCATAATGATATCCTGTCTCATAGAAGCCGCGTGGCGGACGGCATAACTAATCCTATAAGCTCTGTTCAACAGGTTTAAGCGCTCTTGTAACGAATTTTGTATATGATATGAGCTTAGCTCTTTTTATCCCACATCAAACATTTACATACTTATCTGCAGCAGCTTGGAGGGGCGGCGGTCGGGACTAACATTGGATGAACCTTTTTTATTCCAAGTCTAAATTCTACGAGGGTAATATTTGGATTTACTCCACTTCCATGTTGACTAGAATCTCAGAAGGACAAACCGTGAACACTTTGCCTTTGCGTTCTATCAAGGTGGCCCCTTTCCCCATTGCTGTGTTGGTCTGGCGTGCAAGGTGACCAACGTCAAGTTACTAACCACAGTCATGTGAGCTTCAGCAGCGGTGAGTACGGGGCACATATGTACTTGAGTCTTGGCAAATCAGATTACACGACGACATGCTTTTTCTTTCCTTTTGTTGGGAGTCACGTATCTTTCACTCTCCTTTGATCACGCCGCCATATTACCACAAAAGCCTCCCCTCATGACATACTCGGAGTATTCTGTTGAAGATGAAATCTTCACCTTCTTTAGGAAAACGTCGGCCTGTCGCTCAGAATGCGATGCGCGCGCAGAGGAGTTAGTTGGCGGCACGGCAACCACCATCGACGTGCAAGGAAACTGCAGCTACTCTGTTTACGCTGGGCCATGTCTCGAGCACGTTGTCCAATTCCGACTGAAGTCTTTGAAGCTTGATATGAGGACTGCTGCTCTTGCGAGACATGTGTACGGATCCTACGCTCCCATAGACTCGTTCGAGGGCCAAGTGGGTGACGACGAGTCGAAAGAGAATGAACCTCTCTACGTCTACGTTATGAAGTGAATCAAGGATATGACCCATCTAGACTTTATTCTAGCCCATGGTTATCCCCGCAATTCTCCGGAAAACGTTACTCGACGCCAGAGGCTGATGATAGATGTGGCACGGTAAGAGGTCGCCATCCGACTGATGATAATTTCACTTGAGCAAAGCACTAACCGGGCAGCAAGATTCTTTGCTCTTGCATGGAAAGCTCCACAGCCAGTTGACCAAGCCTACGTTACAAAGCTTAGACAGACGTTCGAAAGAGAGCTGCGGATGTTGCTGGAAGCTCTTCCGGTTCGGCTGCACCACATCATCCAGAAGTGCGTCAACTCGTTGGACGCCATACTTTCACTGCCAATGGTGCTTCTCCACAAAGATTTTAGCTCCTGCAATATCGTCGTCGACGAAGCGACCTGTATCTAATCGGAGTGATTGACTGGGCTGAGGCGGACATTGGTCCCTTCGGCATGAATCTCTACACCCTGCAGAGCATATCCGGGAAACTGCACCTTCAGGATGGCTGGACGCGATATGACGACTACGACAGCTTGCAGCAGATCTTTTGGACAAATTTCATCGACCGAGTTGGCGGATTGACGGACGAGTGCGTTGAAGATATCCGCCTAGCAAGCATTACTGGTTTACTGCTGGAAAAAGGCTTTACCATCCGTCTTGCAAATGAACCAGCGTCCGTACCCATCGGACAAGACGAATGCGGACGCTACAACATGTTGTCACTGGATGGATTCCTGGTTAATCCCGCAACGAAGTTGGAAGGAGTCGACTAAACGTATCACTTCTGTGATGAACTGTCCACCGCCAGAATACGGCATGTATTGAATTTAACGATAATAAACATTGATAGGGATGGGACAGGTCTGATGAGTCTTTTTAGGGAAATAAAAGCAGTTAAAGGTACTTAATTTCTATAAAAAAAAAAGGCCCTAGCATATATTGTAGAATGGAGGTTTGTAAAGCAGGCTCAGAACGACATTATTTCCAAGCCACGTAGGATGAAAATGGCACCACAAAACAAACCTGACGGCTTCCCACCAACAGCAGAGTCTTCTCCACGTCAACCTTGCCCAAACCATGCGTTGTTCAGCAGGTCTTGTGCCTTGAGCCTTTCACCCGGCTCGTACTTTAGCAAGCTCGCCAGCATCTCCGCCCACTGCCCCTGTTCCGGCGTGACATTGTCGCCAAAAGCCCTCTTGCAGATCTCGCGAGCAATTGCCTGGTCAGAGCTACCATGTCCGGGTTCTCCCAGGACAGAGGAAATCTCCTCCTCGTAGTCTCCCTCCGATACTCCAATCAGCTGAGGTACATCAAATAATTGTTGACCGACTCGGACTTCGTATAGGGTACAAGCCAAAGACCATAGATCCATCTCTTGGCCGCCAGAACCCTTCAGAATCACCTCTGGTGCTGCGTAGTTGACCGGTATGCCGGGCGGTGACTCCTCGGCGGCGGTTTCAACAGCCTGACCAAAGTCAATAACCACGGCCCGCGGGAGGATAAACGCTGGGCTAGTGTCGCGAAAGTCAACGGGGTAGACAAGGTATTTGGGCGCGTAGGGAATTTCAGGCGTCGGGAGAGAGTCCTCTTGGATCTGGATGGTTTCTTTCTCTGGCTCGCCGAGCAGTGCAAGTACTTGTTCTTCTTCCAGGCCGTCGAGGCTCTGCAGCCCCAAAAGAACATTTGCCGGGCGAAAATCTGGTCAAGTTTTAACAAGCTGGAAAGCAATGGGAGTGTACCAACAGAACGTACCTGCATGGCAGATGCCACGACGGTGTAGAATAGCTAAAGCTTCGACGATGCTGCGAGATATTGTACGAAGAATGCTACTAATATTCTGCTCCTCTTCAAAGATTAAGGCAGCCTGGTCCACCGTAGGCCCGAGTACTGGGTAGACTAGGCAGAGATTCGTCCCGTTGGGGCTTTCGCTATTAAATTGTTCCTTGGGGAGACACAAGTAATGCCCCGGGCCATCAATGCCTTTGTCTCTAAGTCTAAACATAAGTAGTTCACGACATTCCGTTTCCGTTAACCCAGCTTGGAAGATCTTGACTGCCACATAGACTGGTCTGTCTTTACTTTGGTCACGGCAGAGCCATACGGTTAAAGATCCACCATAGCCTAGCTTATGAATAACCCGGAACCGGTGATCGTGAAGCTCGTCTCTAAGCTCAATAGGGTGGAAGCCTTTTGGTTAATAGAAGATGAGTTTCTCCAGCAGAAAATGATTATCTTGCCACCTAGCATAATATAGCCGTCTCCATAGTTACGAGGGATGTTGGGAATACTCTCATATTACGGTAGCCCTAATAGGCTTTAAGCGTGCGTTAACCTGGGTAAGCATTTGGGGATTTAAAGCCAAGTAAAAGGAGAGCTGAGCTCTAGCGAGTATTGCCAGGTGTGATCTAAAAATTGCAGTGAGGCGGTAAGTTATGTGAAGGAGCTTGCTTCTTCTTTTTAAAAAAAATAACGCCACAAACCAAGGGGTATGCAGCATGTGAGCTGCATGCCTCTAAGCGCACAGCCTGCAAACAACCAACATTAACCTAGTGTAGTAGTCATCAGGCATCATCTAACAGAAAAATACCGATTTTTCCTTACGAAGCGTTATGACCGCCCGTTAACTTGGGGAGACAATAAGACCTATTAGTCAGGGGCTTAATAGACTTAAGGTCTACACGGTCAAAGCTGCAAGACAGGCTTTTAGGCCAATAACGGTTACAAGAAGCATCATGAGACCAAGTTAAAGGTCGTACAATGCATATTCTGAAGGGGCCTCCATGTTTGCATGTTGGTGCCTGGCCATGTTAACATTGAACGCTGTGACGCCGACTCGGGGGTTACAGCAACGGGAAAACCTCACTTTCTGCTGGAGAGTCCGTGTCAGCCGCACAACCGTGGTGACATTGACTTGAATCCTAAAAAAAAACATACGTAGAATTCGTTGCCAAGAACTGCCAACCATTGCCCTAGAGTTGACTGATCAACTGTTTCGTTATAGGGGGCCATAGCGGCGTTGTAAAGCTGGTCCCTGTCTCTAGCCTCTCTTTCCCCCTAAACAAAGATGTCCTGATCTTCGTAAAGCCTACACATAGCTTCTTTGAGGCCATTAACGCTTATATGATACGCCTTAGTCCCAGGAAGCATCCTTAAAGCTTCTAACCTCACTCTTACGCAAAATGCTATCCCTAGGCAGCTCCTCCTTGCCACTAAACCGGTTAACGCATGAATACCATGCTCACATCTAAAGCAAAAACATGGAAAAACTAACTTAACGTCGCAGCGGTGTGTATGTATGATGCCTCCTAAGTCCGTGGCTGGCGTTCGCTTAAAGTTCATCCGCGTTATGTCGTGTGGCAACGCATGTTTAAAATCCTAGTCATGTAATAATACGACGATGCTTGCACTCGTTGAGTGCCGTTGAATTTATTGAATGCTTGTGTTTTATTCACTCCTTTAAGTTACTTTTACCTTTATATTTACACATGTAGTGCATAGTGCCATGTTTCATTCTTTGGTGAAAAAAGGGGGTAAAAGCATCTCTTTTAATAACAGCCGCTTTGTTAATAATATGCATAAATCATGCATTATTCCACACTCCTTATGGCCTTACTCCCCGATTTACATTTCTTAACTTATTACCCAAATTATTCTTGACATTACTCACGCTTAACGTCTACGAGTAGTGCCTATCATGGCATCCTCTAGCACCGTTCTATCCTACGTGGTTGATTGGGCTATTTTAATCGGTCTCGCCGTGGCGGGATTCCTTGCAGGCAAAATAACACCAAACAAGCGCCCGTTATGCACGCCGTGATTATGCTCTGTTTCACTCTAGCATCCCTGGTGGCTTTTAAAAACCTCCCACAAGAAATGCTCGCGGAGGCATCCCCTGCGATATGAGATGTGGAAGTTCCACGCCGGCCTTCTGGGTCTTTTGCTTTCGGCCGTTGGGGCATTCTTCCTCACCAACGGAACCAAGAATCTCCTGGGCAAGCCGCGCCCCAATCTCCTCGGCAGATGCCAGCCTGATCTTGCCAACGTGGTCGACTTTATCGTTGCAATGCAACCGACGCGAGTAGTCAGCTAGTTTCTGCGGCCATCTGCAAGAACACGGATAAGTCTGTCGTTAATGAGGGGTTCCACAGGTTTCCGTCGGGGCATTCCTCGGCGGCGGCATCTGGGGTGGTCTACCTTTCGTTATGGCTGGCCGCAAGGCTAGGAGTAGGATCGCCTTTTCTCCTCGGAGGAACGACCGGCGAGGTTGAGAAGTCCGAACGTGGGACACAAACATACATTCTCGATCAGCCCTACGCCGACAATTTACACGGCAGGACACATGGCATGGAAAATGGCACGACGCATTCCGAAGGGGGGCAAAATGTAGCTGCGCCCTTGTACCTGCTGGCGATTTCTCTGACGCCGCTCGGTGCGGCGATATATATCTGTGCGACTCGTTGGTACGACTTATAGCATCACGGCCTGGATATCTTGTTTGGGTTTATCATCGGGACGCTTTCTTGGCTTCAGATATTACTACCAGCCTGTTCGTGCTGGTATGGGGTTTTCTTGGGAACCGCGGGCACCTCGCAGCAGAAATACGGACCCCTCGTGTTGTAATGGAAGGGGGCACCATCAGGATTGTTGCTATTGTTATGGAGTTGATATTTTTAACGCGTGCATGTAACTCATCTCATGCTCTCTGTGTGCTCTGATGCCTCCAGTGTGTCAAACTTTCCCGCGGATGAATGCTCTTTGATGCAAAAGTGTCAAGCAGCCAAGGTGGTAAATAAACGGCTCAGCTTCACCACAAGGCCTTTGTGTTGGCTAGATGATGAAAAGAGGCAATATTGACCCTGACAAAGACGTTGCGCTTTGGACATTGCCGGCACTCTGACCAAACTTCGTTGAGCATCGGGCACCCATGGAGCACAATACACGTTTTGCCAGGACCTGGCATGGCGTAACTGAGGTGCTGGGCGAATTCGTCCATCCCGGATACCATGAAGAGCCAACAATCAGAGTCATGACGGAATTCGAGTCATGTGCCCCAACCACGCTGATCAGAATCCCACAAAGGGGATGTGCTGAAAGAGTAGCCACCTGACTCCTGTTTCTATCGATCATGAAAAGCTCTTTGGCGCGCAGAGCAAGGAAATGACCAGTCATGATGAAGAGCCAATAAGTGGAAATGCAGTCGTACGCTCTAAATGCTTCAAGAAAATCAACAAGTATCTTGGAAGGATTTTATTGCAACCTTCTGTCGGCCCATGTACAACCCTATGATTTACGTTGGATTCCACAGGCCGAGCTCAGCAATAATATACAGTCTATGGCAGTATATACTCCTCTATGCAGAATATATTTACCCACTTAGAAGTATACACAAATATACTATATAACATTTTAATATAGGGCTTGACAACCAGGTACCTGATCTGGTTAAATAGTTTTTGCCTCCCACTGTGGGTTCTTTGGTTAGAACGCCTTGTACCAACAACTAAGAAATCCAGATGTAAAGAAAGCTTATGACTTTCTGGTTGCCCTAATAAGCATTTCTCTGCACAGGAATGGAGTAAGCGAGTTGAGTGATGAAAAGAGACTCGGCTTCCTTGGAGTATCGTCGACAAACACACCAAGTCATATCCCGTCCCAAACTCACGTCGACTTATTTATAAGCACAACTACAAATGACATTACTGGCACCACCGTGTCGAACTATTTGCACAGCTTCACTAAAGTGAAAAAGCGCATGCGGTCCAACGCAACATATTGGGCCAACCTGGCGCCATGCTTGTAGAAATGAAAACATGGGCGTTGATGCGTCTGGTAGCCAGCCCAGGCAACCCATCAACGTCCATACCATCTTGGCCAAGCAAAATACTCTCATCGTCATCCAACGCCTCAAATATTCGCACATGATAACGGTCGTGGCAACTCAAAGGCGCGGCCCACCGAAAAGTGGCAGCATCATAATGACACAGTTGAGAGCAAAACTGCGGCGTCATCATTTCGCACCCGCATTGCCACCGGAGCAAAAGCGCCGGCTCACGTCGCAGCAACATCAATTCACTCACAAGTCAAGCTTTATTCATAGCGTCATGCAACAGAGTCCCCGTTGCCCCCGGCCTTTAAATACGCCCACGGCTTCCGCTCAGCTCAAGTTGCTGTTTCTGCAAAATCAACTTCATCTTACAGGTTTACAATTCAATACAAACTTCACATTATGGACTCACTCAAGGAAGGCGCCAGCTACGTCTCCGAGCAGGCGAAGAAGGCCACCACCGGCACTTCAAAGGAGGCCAACAAGGACATTGCCAAAAAATCTGACGCACCTCTCGGCGAGCGGTATGTCTTCTTCAATCGTCCCCCCTTTGCTTTTGCACCATGAAGTAACTACTAACTGCTTCCTCAGAGCTTCTGCCGCAAAGGACGCCGTTTCCGACAAGGCTAGCGAGCAAACGCACGACGTCAAGGCTGAGGTTCACAAGCAGCAGACCTAGGCTGCCTAGTCAGAGAAGCACATGGCTCCTTGTGGACCATGTAAAGGTGTTGTCGTGAAGGAGATACTGTACAACGCTGATGTATCTATCTAATGGTGGAGGAAGGCAATGAGCTGGTACATGTCAAGAATGGCATGATTATCTATCTGTCATGTCTATTAATTTTCAGTCTAGTATGAATTGCGTCCAAGCAATGAAATGAAATACATGTATACAGTCTGGTTTTTTCACCTCCATTTGTTGTCCCAGCCTGCCTGTTCGATAACGAATGCAATGGCAAGTTCAGAAAATCGTGCCATGTGCTGTGACAAGTAAGCATGAGAACCGGATGAAGAGATTTACATAAAACTTACGTCGAGCGAGAAGACGCCCGTGTCGTCATCAATATCCATGGTATCTTTAGCGGTGTGGACGTAAGGGTCGAATTCGCCGGGAAATGCACCAGCTGACGGGTTGCCCTCCGAGGCAAAAGCGGACGGATAGCCGAGCTGCGTAAAAGACATGTAGTCGGAGCCCGCACCGCTGTTTTCATTATGTCAGCCTTTGGTGGCCTGGGCTGGGAGAACTGAGAGGTGGGAAGCTAGGGTCACCTTGGGAGCTTGTACACCTTGGCGGGAATCGAGACATACTCGTTGGCCAAGTCGGCTGCCCACTTGGTCAGAGGAGCATCCGCTTCCGTCTCAATGAAGCCAATGGACTCGGTAGCATTTTTGGCAATAAAGGCCGTCATGTCCTAGTTCCGGTGAGTTAGAGAAACGGGTGTGTCGATTGACTGTGTTATTCAAGCACACAAATACTCACAAACTCCATCATGGCGCCGATGCGAGCGCCCGACTCCTTCTTGTATCGTGCAATAGCTTGACTGCCCAAAAGACCGCCCTCCTCAGCGGCGTACCAATGAAACTCAACGGGTCCATTCTTGGGGATAAAGCCGCTGGTTGCCAGCACGCGGAAAGCCTCGAGTATGCTCACAGTTCCCGAGCAGTCGTCATCGGCACCAGGCGCGGGCAGGAGAGGGAATAGGTAGTTCATGGAGTCTTGGTGTGCGCCAAGGATGGTCAGCGGCAGCGAGAAGTTTCGCACCTTGGGCTCAAAGCGAGCGATGATGGATGGCTGAGGGAAAGAATGCGTGAAAACCTCGAGAGAGATATGGGTATGGAATGGAGATTCCTTAATAATCTACGCGCAAGCGTCAGCACGTTTCAGCCCCAGCCTCTGTTGGGAAGCAGGCAGGTTATACATCAGCGATGTGATCATGAAGCCACTGGGCACTCTCTTCGCCCGTAACACTACCAAAGTATCTGGTGTAGTAGCTAGTCATGTGTTCCAGCACATGGCGCATCCTCTTTGTCGAGACTTGAGGAAGGAGAGGCTTTACAATGCGCTGATGTGAGAGACTGGGCAAATCTACAACAAGTCGTGAGTGACATGCACACCCAGCTGGTCTGCACTGCAAATTATATCAAAACTTACGAGCCTCTCCAGCCAATGCATCCACATTCTTTTTGTAAAAGCCCTCATGGTCGGTAATGTCGACAAACTTGTGGCCCTTGCGCTTGAGGCGCAACTTGTCACCTTCAGTCATCCATCTGGCCGTCGGCTCACCAGATACGCGGAGCAAGCGAGGCTGGGCAAGCTGGTCAGCTGCCTCGGGGTGCAGCGAGACGAGGGCATCTACAGGATCGGAATGCTCCTTTAATGCATCAAGAATAACGGGATCGACTTGATGATGACGAACTGGGCCCGTGAGGCGGACTTGCGAGTCTTGGGATGTGTCTCGAGATGCGGAGGCGACGGCGACGAAGCTGCTGCCCAGAAGCAGCAGCGAATGTGTGCAGACAGAGGTCAGCATGGCGGCAGTGGCGCTCAGTGGTGCTCAGTGGTGAGGGAGAATATCCCAAGTCGACGATGGAATGGTTTCTCGATGCCAAGTCCCGGTGCGGCTGAAGTGAAGTCGCGTGCTCTGATTGTGAAGCGCAGTCGCTCGCAATCGCTCGCAATCTCGACCCCACTTTCTCGCCAGGGCGCACTCGAGTCAAGCATGGAATTGCTTTTGCGGGTTCCGTACCCAAGAGTCCAAGGACTCACTGCCGACAACATATAAATATCGCACGATGCAGTACGCCGACCAAACCAACATTCGTGACTTTATTGAGGAGCACGGGAGTCTTCTGCAGCAGCATGTGGAAGTTACGCTACGGTTGGGCCTCATGAGTCGGCGGCCGGAAATATTAAATCTACTCGAGACACTCTGCTCTCCTCTGACGATACATCTTACCAATCAGCCAGGACATCAGAGAAGGGCTCGAGCGTGTAGCCTCTGTTTCATCGCAATGCAAGTATGTCGTGCCGAGTGCCCCCCTTGCCTCATTCTCACATCTCCCATCTCCTCCCTCTTCCGCGTCCGAACTTCTCGAACCTCGTTCCCAATCGCAGCCAACTCTCCTTGAACCACCTGTCACGGACGTGGCCGACTGCGCTGCGTTCTAGAAACTAATTCCTCAGAAAGGTCGACAGAAACCGAACTTTCTCCTACGCGGCACCGAGATGCACCCTCTTGGCTTCGGGGATGGGAAACATGGCTGGGTGGCACAGCATTTGATTTGCCAAAACTGTCCCCCCGTGTGATGAGGGAAACTGCCGCGCAAGACGTCCCGAGACACTAGGAAACCTGTCATCTCGCAAGCCACGAGAGATCAACAAAGCCACTGGCAAGGTGGCAGTCTGGGGAGAAGCGCGGAGCCCAATGGGAGACTTTTCGCAACACACCCACGCGACTCAGAATCCTTCGAATGCGGCTTCCATCACGAACATCCATTTCCATCCGGCGGCGCCTTCGTTATCTCCAGATGCGGATACGCCGTGCGGTTGACGGTTGGGAACGAAGAAAAAACGATGCAACTGCCGCTCACAACACCATGGCCACTTCACCCATCCACCCAACCACCCCCACGTTCCAACTCACAAGCATGCCCATGGCCCCAATCTGCTGAAATGCCCAGGCCTCATGTGGCGCCCAAGCTAATGATTCTCCCGCAAAGCCAACGTCCCAAAGGCTGAGGGCCGCCAAACCCAAAGCGGTGGCCGGTGTGTGTGGTTCCATTGGCTGCTGAAGCCATTGACAGATGATGAACCTGATACGGCCTGTTGACACGTCGAGTTGACAATGGTCTCGGCTGTCGCCACCCCCAGACAACTTCCAAGATTCTGTTCCACCGGCTCCACCGAAGGGCTGAGATGGGCTCACATGGGCAAGGCCTTTCCACCACCATCTGGCTGCCGGATCTGTTGTATGCACTCGGCCAGGTTGAGAAGCGCGGGGAGGGGGAGGGGCGAGCCATCATGCAGTCGTTGCTCTGTTATTTAATATCTCATCAGCCTTGCTGATTGTCTTTCTCAACTTTCTTCGTTGCAGTCTTGTCTCTCCATCAGCGAACACTACTTGGTCGATTCCTTCCCTCCTTTCCCCCCCTTGAAGGCTCAGCAACGATGCATCTCGGACACGGCGAAGAGAAGCAGGCCAAGGTCGACTTGGCCGACGGCGGCAGCTCCCAGCATGTGGAAGACCTCCAGATGGGCCATCTCCACCGGCGGCTTCAGAACCGCCAGATCCAGCTTATTGCCGCCGGTGGTTCCATTGGAACCGCCCTCTTCATCAGCATCGGCGGCGGCCTTGCCAAGGGCGGCCCTGCCAGTCTCCTGATCGCCTACACCTTGTACTCGATCGTGCTGTCCCTTGTGAACAACTCCATTGCTGAAATGAGCACCTACATGCCCGTGGCCGGCGGCTTTGTCCGGCTAGCTGGCTACTGGGTCGATGATGCACTGGGCTTCCTGGCCGGCTGGAACTTCTTCCTCTACGAAGCCTTGCTCATTCCATTCGAGATTACGGCTCTGACCTTTGTCATTTCTTTCTGGAACGCCAATGTCACGGATCCTGGTCCAACAGCCGGCATCTGCGCTGCTGTTATTATATGCTACGGGTACGAGCCCCATGTCTATTTCCAACAGATTGTTTTTTTTTATAAGCGGGATTTTAGTTTGCTGACTTTTTTCTATGTAGCCTTCTCAACGTCCTTGCCGTCCGCTTCTACGGTGAAGCTGAATTCTGGCTCTCCGGTGGAAAGCTCATCTTGATCTTCATCTTGTTCGCATTCACCTTTGTCACAATGTGCGGCGGCAACCCCCAGCACGACGCATATGGATTTCGGCACTTCTCCAACCCAGGAGCCTTTGCCACATATCTAAGCAACGGCGACCTGGGTCGATTTGAAGGCTTCCTCGCCTGTCTCTGGAGCGCTTCGTTTTGCGTCGTCGGCCCAGAGTACATCTCCATGGTCTCGGCCGAGGCCCAGCGCCCAAGCATCTACATCAAAGACGCCTTCAAGACAGTTTATTACCGGTTCTGCATCTTCTTTGTTGTCGGAGCCCTGGCTGTCGGCATTATCTGCGCCTACAACGACCCGACGCTCGTCGAAATCTGGTTCGGAACCGGCTCGGCTGGCAGCGCAGCCGCCTCTCCCTACGTCATTGCCATGGAGTCGCTGGGCGTCAAGGTCTTGCCGCACATTGTCAACTTTTTGATTCTCACCTCCATCTTCTCCGCCGGCAACACGTACACGTATGCTGCCACGCGAGCGCTGTACTCGCTGGCTCTGGAGGGCCGCGCGCCCAAGTTCCTGCGCTATTGCAACAAGAGCGGCGTCCCCATCTGGTGCTTCTGCGTCGTCATGTGCTTCCCATTTTTGTCTTTCCTCCAGGTCTCCAACAGCTCGGCCAAGGTCCTAACTTGGCTGATCAGCATCGTCACGGGCGGCGGCTTGATCACCTACCTCATCATGTCCATCACCTACATCAACTATCATAGGGCGTGCCAGGCCCAGGGTGTCAACAGAAAAGCAGAGCGGCCCTACTACGGGTACTTCCAGCCCTACTGTGCTTACATTGCCCTGGCTGTTCAGGGTCTAGTCGTGCTCACGTACGGGTACTATGCGTTCCGGCCCAAGTGGGACGTCGAGGTTTTCTTCCAGAGCTACTCTATGCAGATCCTGGCCGTGCTTCTCTTTGTTGGATGGAAGATACTCAAGAAGACTCGCTACATCCCGCCTAAGGAGGTCGATCTGGTTTGGCAGCGACCTGAAATTGATGCCTATGAGAATTCCTTCACCGAGCCGCCGGTTGGCTTCTGGACAGAAATGGTCCAGATGGTGGGCTTCCGAAGACACCCCAAGTCTGGTGCGCATGTTTGAGTATGGCTGTTCGGCGAACTTATTTGGATTGTCTTATTCGTAGACTCTGGTGCATATTGAAGAGATTCTCTTGTAGTAAATACAATCTGCTGTACGATGTATAGTGAGGGGCAAAAAGTATTCAACCCGGTCAGGTACCTGGCCATCGCGCCCTATACTACAATATAGTAGATTAGTGTATATATTTCTTGGTGGGCGAATATATTCCGCCACAGACTATATTCCCGGTGCATGTGTACTCCTTGGAACCGCGTTGTATTTACTTGTGACGATTATGTATGCCATGAACCACCCAATTAGGCACTGATGCTACCGTTTGCCATGTGTCCATCAAGCACCAGTGGCTCCGAGGGCAGGTATGCTTACCCGTTTATCTATTGACACCCCCCATTAGACTTCAATGTTGGCTAAAAGATGACGCAACGCCTACGCATGTGCTTATTTTGCAGCCTGGTGTGCAAGTCAAAAGTATGCGATTAACGGACTCATGATTTGCATTATACAAGACAGTTCTTTGAAAGCTAGGTCGGCCCATACTTGTAGCTGCTCTACTCTATTCTACCAATTGCCCATTAAATAAAATAGCTCACTTGTTTCATGGTGTAAGTAGTTCCTTTACAACATGGAGTCCGTGCGCCGGTTACTCATGATTGGTCTCTGACACGTCCGTGCTTGCCATGTCTAACGACGTCTCCTGTTCCGTCGTGGCGGCGTTGCCGTCTTGCGACGAATCATCGTCCGTCAAATCTAAACGTCTACCCAGAAGCCTTTCTGCCGCTTCCTTTCCTTCTTGATACCTCTGGTGATAAGTGACGACTAGGTCGACCCGGATTGTCTCGGGACCATGTCGCGCCTGTCCAAATAAGATGGACTGCCCCTTGGACAGGTCGCCTCCTCGGCTGTCAAACGCATCGGCAATGGCAGCATGTGTCGAGACGCTCTTGACCAACTGCGAGTACCTGGCGAGATGCAGGACCGCGACCAGGTAGATCTGGTACCCGATCCAGACGTACTGCAAGTTTCGGGACATTAGGAGGGTTGAGAGAGTCAAGCCCAGGGGGAACATGCCACCCAACAAAACGACAATGACCAGCTGAAATATCTCTCGGGCGCGATGTCGCACGGGATGGCCGTAGTGTCTCATGAATTGCGACACAATGGCTGGGGGACCTGTGAATATCATGAAGCTGCCGCTCGACTGAGGACAGTTAATCTCGAAAACATCATTCTCATCCTTGGCCATTGATTCCGTGACGGGTATCAGCGGCTCGCGATGGAGGGTGAATACAGCGCTCAGGAGTCTCAGTGCCAGCGGCGCAAGCCACAACGCAGCCCATGGAGTCCTCGCGACGGCGATGAGGACGACGGCGGTGACGATGGCTGTGAGCTCTCCAAGAATAATCGCTGCAAATACGGAAACATTGGGCGTCTTTGCATCTTCCCTGACAAATGGAAGACTGGAATTCTTGTCTTTTATCGTTGCCGGGGAAAAGGTCAAGTGGTGGACAGACGTCCAGGCCCTAATGGATGTGTTCTTGAGCGCCATTCCCTTCTCTTGCCTCTCAGCGGGTGACTCTTGGCCGTCCTGGCTGTTCTGCTTCAAGTCTGGAACGTGTAACAGAGCGAGGGCCATGGCCCATAAGCAGTTGCGAGACGGCTTCGTCCGAGGTTCCTGTCCGGGGCTACACAAGGTATGTGTCCAGCCAATGTCCTTGAAAAACGCCGTCCCTAGCATATGGCCGCGATGCTGACCTTGGAAGAGCCCGTGGGTATAGAGAGTGTCGAGAATCTCAAGGGCAGCCTTATGCATCGGTCCACCCATGGGCGTCAATACCACTATCGCAAATACCGACGAGACGGACAAGTTGCACAGGTAGCGATTCGGCCAGAGGAGGTGTTCGAATGGGCTTACCGTGGCCGCCTCTGCGCCAACGTAGCCCAAGAGGGCGCTTAGAGCTGCAAGCGCTGTGTTTCCCTCGTCTGACATTGTTTCTCGAGAGTGGATTTGTATCGCGATTGCGAAAAGGGAGGCAGGTCTACTAGTTTGGTCGACAGGGGGCCTATTGGATGAGGCTGGGCCTTTATATACCTGCAAGAGTTCGACGAGCTGAAGATGCATCTGCAGGCATGTTAGCGGCATAGCCCAGCCTAGCCATCCAATACTTGTGAATCATACAAGGATTCGACAGAGAGTAAGAAGTAGAAATATGCCATATCGCCGCGGTTTCCGCTCTCCTCTCCACATTTTGTACACTTCTACGAGTGCTGGGCGGCAATGCTTTGCTTCTTCCTTTTCCCAAAATTGTCATCACAACCAAAGAAGCAGTTGACCCGTACTTCCCCGTCGTAACCAAAGATCGTTTACTCGCACAAAGTACAACGACAAGTTGGCTACGCTCTGGAGCAGCCGGTCCAAGTTGTGGCCGGCTAAGCAAGGCACTCTGTACCATCATGTCGTCGACTACTACTGCAGCCGATATCAGCCAGCTTGGCGAAGGGCTCCATCTCATGTCGACTGCTGCAGCCGACATCACCGACGCTCTGGAGAAGTGGCGGGCAGAGGTCTACCCCGAGCACCAGCGCAAGATGTCCATCAGCTACCTGTTTTCAGATCAGTGGCAAGACAGCGTAAACAAACTATGGGAGGGCTACAGCGAACTTGAGAGCCGACGTCGCAAAGTCGTCGGGGCAGCACGCCTGAGTTGGCAGGATGAATATGAAGCGGACAACGAGCAGTGGCTGGCATCGAGAAGGGGCATGTTCAAGCCGTATCCTGAGCGACTGTGGCACATATGCCCGCTCTGGGTCTACCTGGCAAGATACCAAGGCCGGCCTGAGCATGAAGACAATCGCCGACTCTATGGCTGGACATCTCTTCTCGGTGACTGGGAGGAAATGAGCGAGCTGATGGAAAAGGACAAGAATTTCCGCAACGCCATGTCGCCCACGCAGCAGCAATCCTACCGGCTGTTGCGACTTTGGTGGGCAGCCACGTACTGCGACAGGGAGCTTGTAGACGCGATGCGAAACTACATTGAGAGTCAAAGATCGGTTCCTACCTTGGATTGGTACACATTGTCAGTTGAAAAGTTTGCCTCCATTGCCCGGGACATCCAGACAGACAAGTCCAAATATCATGGGAAGCTATCTCTCCTTCTCCTCCGGGAATTCCACCCACCTAGTTGGGAGCCGAATGTGTGGCGGGTCTATCTCATAAATCTGCAAATTGCGCGATATGAAGCGGCACGCATGGCCACCATGCAGCAAATGGCATATGCAGTGCTTTATCCTACTACTGCGACGCGGCAAGTGGCGTACCCCGTTGTGGTGAAGAATGAGCATATAGGCCTGCGTAGGGCATGGGCCCAAACCTGTGATAATCCTTACTATCTGTGGGATAGCAAGCATGATAAAACCGTGGTCGTGGAAGACCTGGCTAGGTGCCCCGACTATGTCTGCATCAGCCATACTTGGGGTCGCTGGAATACAAGGACCAAGGCAGACGTCCCTGGAGTGCCTTGGCCTGTCCCAGAGAACAGGATATTCGACGTCAAGAGTCTCCCGGGGCAGCTTCATCAGTTGGGGCGGCGTTACATATGGATAGACTTGTTTTGCATCCCCCAAGACCGCAGTCTGCGAAGCCGTAAAGAAATTGCCAATCAAGCCTCCATATTCAAGGGGTCGAGCGGCTGCATTGCCTGGATCAACGACGTCAACTCGTGGGACGGGGTGCTCAAAGCCTTGGATTGGATCAGCCTCAAAGTATGGGCGGTTATATCTGCCGGCGGAAAAGAGCTGGTCAAGGACAGGTTGCTGGAGGCAACTAGGTCGGCCTCGGTGCCCATGGAGCTCATGAAGACGAAACGACTTGCTCAAGGCTCGCCGGCCGCGGACAACTTGGTAGGACCAATCGAGCCTGCAAATTGGTTCTCGTCTCTGTGGACGCTGCAGGAGTGTGCTCTATGCCCCGACATCGAGCTGTATACTAGTTCCTGGGAAAGGCTTCAAGACAGATGCGGCACCCCCATCCCCCTCCGAGCCCTCATGTTTCTCTGTTTCGAAAGTCAACACATGTTGACCAATCCGACGGACGACTCCAAGAACCGCTGGTATTCGGACGGGATGAAGGATGCCAAGGCCAGCGCGCAAAGCTTGGTGTTTCCAACTGCAGTACAGGATATATACAACCTCTCCGATCTGACACGCCTCGAAGAAGTCCTAACAGATGCTTCTCCTATTCCAGTTCTGGTGCACTCGAACAACCGGCGCTCGACGTCAAGCCGCGCTCCGGCCATCATGTCAGCCATAGGCGTTACAGACTGGTATCTGAGGAGCATTCACAACAAGACCAAAGAGCCGCTGCTGTTCAACCAGTACCCAATTTCATTCGTGAGCGAAGCAGCTACCAAGCTCGGAGCCCAATTCTACAACTGCCACGGCAGACTGCAGCGGCCGAGCAAAGTATCCAAGTTGTTCCCGGTGACCATGCGGGCCGAATTCGAAGGCAGCATGCTCCCATTTTCCAACTCGGAAGGCTGGTTCAACAACGTCAACGTCCTTTACAACCCGGCCTTTGTCGACAAGACGGACCACGAAGCGGTTTCGACGTGGACAATCAACGAGGACGCCAGCGTGACGATGCGCTCAGCTGGCGTGTCCATGACCTCCCACGATGAGCCCGCGGCACAGAAAGTGGCCGGCCTCGTGATTGGCATTCCCCAATTGGGCGCCGGCAAGGAGGCCAGATCCTTTGGCCAGACCCATGGAACAGAAGACATGCTGGCGTCGCTCAAGTCCATCTCTTACGGGTCTCGGTGCATATATGCCGTGGCCTTGTATGAGGACTCGTGTCTACTCCACGGTGTGCTGCTCGAGCATTTGCCCATTTCAATGTTTAGCAAGCAGTACTTGGTCAAGATTGGCATGTTTCTCATGAAGGAGACCTCCCTGCCACCTACGAGAAACGTACATTGGGAGGTGATATAAAATGGTCGGAGAGGTACCGTTTATGGCAGAATATTTTTACCCTCCAGGTAGCATAGATCAATATACTCTACTATATTATAACATAACGCGTGACAGCCAGGTACGTGATCTGGTTAAATACCTTTTGCCTCCCACTGTACACTGGCGCTTATTTGAAGAGGAACCGTGCTACTACCTGTGTGCGGAATACAAGTGACAATAAAGGGGTGGAGCCTGAATTATCCACGCCGTCTGGAGCTCTGCCAGTGTTTTAAGCAAGACTCTTGCCTTTTGATGAGATACGGGCATGGATATTCGCACACATTCGTGGTGGCCGTGGCATCGTGGGTTAGATTGTAGTTCAACAGCAGAGGTTTCACGTACTATTTTGAATTTGTTTCAAGAATAAATAAAAAGAAAAAAAGAAACATGGACTGCGCAGTGGAATTGGGGGGTGACTTTCAAGCGAGGGCAAAAAAATAACAACAACACAACTGGAGAAACGGGGATTTGAACCCCGGACCTTCTACATGCAAAGCAAATGTGAGAACCCCTACACCATTTCCCCTGTTATTATTGCGACGACGTAGCACCACAACAGTCTGATATACCTAGGTGCCCAAAAGTCTCATTGAAACACTATGCATATTTACGTACTACTTTAACCATTTTCGTAGCTGGCCATTCTCATGCCGTCTTCCTGCGCTACTTTGCCTTATTCGAATGACCTCTCTGCGCCCTTGGTGTGGGTAGCACGTCGGCCGAGAGTTGCCAGACAATCTTGACAACCGCGCACGTCATGGCAAGTAAGAGACATGTCTACCTAGGCGGCTTATGAAGCAACCCAGAGTACATCAGTCCCAGCCATTTTAATACATGTAATGAAATTACGGCCTTGATTCAGTGCAAAGACTGCCGGGCGTTGCGCGGAAGCGGAATTCCAGCCCGGAGCTGCCATCTGCTTCAGTGACGGCATGTGTGACGAGTGTAATTGACTCCCTGTGACAAGGCCATGTGCCGGTATAATTCTCACAGGGGGTCGCTTCTGAGAAATAGATGTCACGCTGGACATGTGGTCGTACGGTTGGCCAAATGATGGTGGTACATGTTGGAGCAAGCTTATACTTGGGCCAGTGTATCCAGACGGGCCATGGCAAACGGCCATACATTGCCTCAGGAACAGCAACTAATTTAGCTCACTATTGAGCTTCACCGCCTTTGAGGATCCCGCGTCGATAACCACGGCAGGATTCTCAGAGGTGCCGTCTCGCGAGACGGTATTTCCTTTCTTAGTCGTCACCGAAGCTCTGCCGCGATGTTAGAAAATCACCTCCAGAACAGGCATGCCGAGGTGCTTACTTTTCGTGCTTTACGTCCTTCACCGTGCCTTCTGGCTGGCCCTGGCCCCAGTTCCAACTTACTGTGTCTCCCTTGTTTGGTCCTTTCTTACCAGAAGACCCGTTCTTGTTGCTCCTCTCAGTCTTTTTACTTTGCTGGCCATCCTCATCGGAGGCAGATTCCTGGGTGTCTTGCTCAGTCTCGGCATCGTCTGTGGTATCTTGCTTGTTTGCCGATTTTGTTGCGCCGTTGTGGCCGTTTTTCTGGCTCTTGGGGGCCGACTTTTGCGTCCTTGGTCTCTTGTTCTCTCCATCCTGGTTGTCCTTGGAAGCCCTCTTTGTACCGACGTCTTCCACTTCGTCTTCCTCTTCGTCTTCGTCTTCCACTTCCTCTTCCTCTTCCTCTTCCACTTGCTCTTCCTCTTCCTCTTCGTCTTCCTCTTCGTCTCCCTCTTCCTCTTCGTCTTCGCCCGCATCCTCATTGTCATCCTCATCGCCATTACCTTGTCGTTCCTTGAGGGGGTCGTGGCCCCAGTTCTTCAGGGACGCATATGATTTTGTTTTTTTGACTTCTTCAACGGACTTGTTGTCGTTGATTTTGCTCTCCTGGGCCAAATGCCGCTTGCTAGCACCACGGTGTCAGTTGGAAGAAATGACATCGCGGTGCGGGACTGGACCTCTGCCTGAAAAGGAGAAAGTAAAAAGGGAAAAAAGGAGAAAAGGAAAACCATACCAGTATGAAACCACCTTTCTCATGTGCTGAATCTGGTCATCAGTGTACTTGTCTGGGCTCTTTTGCGGATTGTCTCTGAGAATCTGAACAATCTTGCGCCCGCTATCGTGGCCGACGGATTCGCCGCCGCCGTCATCTTCCTTGGACCATCCCGCGGCCTGGGAATCACCGGACTTGAGCCACTTTTCTAGTTCCGCTGCCGACATGTTGACGAGCTCGTTGAACTCGCGGATAACGTCGTTTTTGCCCTTCATTTTTGCTATTTTTTCGCAATAGATTCAATACGATCCCTGTCTCCCCAAAAGAGCCGAGATGGTCCAGAGGGGGTCGTATTTATGCAAGGTTGTCTGGAGAGTGCTCCATTGCCGCCATAATCGGCGCGTCATAGAGTCGGTATAAGCCGTGAGACCCACGTACATGGCTGTTTCCGTGTCGCTTTGCGCAATAGCCAAATTGGCTTAACAAAATTCAAAAAAAGAAAAATGAAATGGCAAAGTCTCGTCCCGTGCTGGAATCCGCTCGATCCACTTCTCCAAGTCTTTGTCGCTAATCTGGGCCGGCCATCTCGATCTGCCATTCTTATCAAGATTACCCCAACTCCACAAACGCATGTCCGCATCGTAACCGCGGCGAAACAACTTTTCTTTGCCCTCCGCTAGAGGAGGCTAGACTGCTTACAATGGCATCGGCGTCATCGGGCGTGGTTGCTGGGTCAAGCATGACAAGATGGCGGGCAACGTCTTGGCTACCAACACACGGCGGCTAACAGTGGACCGAGACGGATATCACACGGCATTATATATTATTGGGGTAAAAAAAAACAAAGCATACCAGTCATATTCGGGTGGCCTTCGGTTATGAGCAAGTCAGTACGTCTAGTTCATCTGCCTACACTGTCAGCAGACCTTCAACATTCTTGAATACACGCGCTGGATTCTTTATTTTAATTCTCCGATAGACTTGTGTAACGGTTGTCAAAGTGCCATGAAAGCTCAATGACCGGGGTGCTTCCATCAGGGTTTATAATTGGAAAATGCTTTTCGCCAGTCAAAGTCTCAAATGAGCAGGCGAGAATGTGATACAAGGTGTAAATGAAGGGTAAGCCCTGAGTACGGAGCAAGACTAGAGTATTTTCCTTTCGAAAAAGGCCAATTATATAGCTTGAGCCCATCATCCTGGGTTGAGATATTACGTGTCATTTGTTCCACGCCCCGTTGCATCTGCAACCTAAAGGAACGGGTAGACATGTGATGCATGCCGCCACAGGACCTTCGCCTCTTCAATACTGAGGCTCTGCATCTGCTTGGTGCCTCGACTGGTCGCGCTCAATGTAACTTTCGCATGGGCTTTTCTTTGCATCTGCGGTGTCCTCATCTCTGTGCGCTACCCTAGACGGCATTCACGTCAACCGACCCGAGTCTAAACATACATGAGTGACACCGGTACTGCCCAGTCGATAACTTTCGGTAACACGGTCACTGGCTTCACGTAAAGGAGCCAAGAGAGGACGAAGGTACACGTATTCTTTAAACTATTACCCAGCTGGAATCTCCCACCACTGAGCTCTCTGCCGCGAGTGCCGGAGCGGCTTGTCACGTAACAGACGGGTTGCACCTCGCATCCAGGGAGAAATTCAGATCTACGCTTCTGTATATTCCCGGTACATCCCTCCTTCAAGACCATGGGATGCTTTTGCCTTTTCTGACAAACTTGCGATTGCCGACGCCACGGGACCAACTGAAGAGACGCCCAAGGTATAGTATTCAAACGCCAAGAGGAAAACTTTCTTCTATAATGCATTACCCCACGCGCATGAATGCTGTAATTGAATCCCCCATGAACAAGAGGTCTGTTTTCCCTTGAAGCTTGAGCTGTCCCATCCTCTCCACCTCGTTTGATGAGCAGATTCAGCTCGGGGGTTGGTGGTGGGGTCTGACTCGAGACGCGAAATTGCGACCCATTACCCCATCTTTGTTTGCTGCGTTGATAGCCGAAGCGCTTCGAGGTGGTTCCATCCTATATCGGAGCAAAAAAATAGTGTCGTGAGACTAGGCTTTTACAAAACCGTACAGGTTCTTGTTCACCATCTTGTAATAAAAATTATGGCGTGATTCACCCTGCTTGGTCGTACATTTCGTCATCGTCCTTTGGCCATTCCACCTCAAACAAGACATCCCCGTCTTCGGGGTCTGACACAAAGGTGAATGCCACGATGCTGTTGTTCTTTAATCCACATGCAGTTGGAGTTTTGCTTTCATCTTCGCCAGTCTTGATTCTTTTCCATCCCCTGGAGGGGTCGTTGGGCACGTTGAGAACTCCATAGGCTACCTTGGGATTTGCAGGGATTGTCATAGTCTTTTGCGGTGCCATAGCTGTGGTGAGGCCATCCGGATATCGTTCGCTCAGAAGTTCAAGTAGCTCCTTGGTGACTTCGGACATGGGTGCCTGTGCATCTGCGAACATGAAGATTGTGTGAATGCCGTGCTTGAGGCGTAGCGAGATGTGGCCGTCATCCACGGTAGTCTGTCGGAAGTGTTAGTATAGTGAACGGCACGAGTTGCATATAATCACGACGTGCCATTTTTGCGTGAGAACGTTGCGGTTTGTGTAATGGAGACGGCCATGAAGTCGGGTCGTTTCTCTTTAGATTCACAGTCGACCACTTGGTGAAGCTTCAGAAAAAGAGTTATCCCATCACGTGAGAGCTTACAACTTGGCTTTTCCCAGCTTCCGCTGTGGCTAAACTCGTGTGTGGCGCACACGAGGAGGACGGCACACGGAAACTCCGCTCCGGTGAGGACCCTCGACTTTCACTTTCGAGGCTAACGACGTTGAAAAAAAAGAAAGGGAAAAACGGCATCTCAAAGATAGCTTCCTAACGATGTTGTTGATCGAGAACGGCAACCTGTACTGTTGATTTTTGTTTGATTTTCAACCACTTCACACCTATATTCCAACGCCGCGGCAGCCTTGATCACCCATCCCCTGACGGCTGGGATCGTTCACGTCATCCAACGCAAACAAGCCTACTGAATCCAACCCCTATCGCAAGATCGACGAGGCGACGTGATAAGGAAAAAACGTGACGAAAGGGACGAACACTCTGACGCACAGTAGAAAGCCTCGCCATAAAAAGGCTGGCACAGCAAAGTTCTGAGATTTCGCAAACCTGACCCCAGAGCACGGATTCTCTCTTTTTGGACTGTGTACGCAATGAAGGCGACACGGGGCTCCGTCATGGATCTACCAGCTTCCACAGATGTGATTGCGCCCACCACCTCTACACCCACGCCGTCACGCTCATCTTCAGCGTTCCACGATCACGATGCATTTCCATCTGATCCATACCCCAGGCTGTCCATTTCAACGCCGGCGCGCATTCTGCTCGGGTCGGTCTCGTCGGGGGCGATTGGCTTCACGCTTGGTGCCATGCAGGGCGGCCAGATGGCTCAGCTCCGCTTCCGGGCAGAACACGCACACAAGATGCCCGACACTACGACGGGCTGGTATCTCTATCACAAATCCAAAAACTATCACGCAATGCAGGGTGGCATCCGTGAGGGTTTCCGAATGGGGGCCAAGACAAGCTTCTGGAGCTTTGTAGCACTGGGACTGGAAAGCACCGTTGACCGCTATCGAGGCAGCAGCGACATGTTTTCGACGACAATGGCGACGTTGACCGTAGCGGGCGCGTTTTCCTTATGCCGTAAGTGGAATCTCGATGGAATCGCACATTCAGTACCTATCACGTCTACACATCGGGCATCATGATCTCCATGAGCCGCACCGGGTTTAACTCTCCGACCTGCGTGTCTAAGCCCACATTTTACCCTTTTCTCAAATTCAAACCTCGCCCCCCTCCCGTCCGATTCCAATCACACAATCCCACTCCGTTCCCTTCAGCCAAGCCTCTTGCCTGTTTCTTCTCTGGTGTCAGTCTAGAGGCGCCTGAAAGACTTGATGAGCAGTTGGTTGTCAGATCAAAGGACCCATACAAGACATGGCAAGTGTCGGCTTTCTTATCGCGTTGTAGTGGCGGGTACCAGACAAATGCAAATGAGACGTGTGGCTAACTGGCACCGACTTTCGGCTGCATGGATCAGATAGGTTCTCGCTGTCAACAGCTGGACGCACGGCCAAGCTTGGACTGCTGTTTGGGCTTGCGTACGGGGGGGTACAGGACCTCGTAGGCTTGGCCCGCGGTAGACCGATAGGGTATGTGGAGAGCCTCCGACGTCGGTTTGGATCTCCAACTAGCCACGCATACGCAGCCCGACCAGATTCAAGCGCCGGCGTCGATGGTGCTTGAGACGAAAGATGGCAGACACCACGCACCACAGACCAAAACGGCGCCGGCCCCAATGATAACCCTAGTCGCAGCGCGGTAGCCAAGTTGCTCGACCAGAAAGCTTATCCACGCACCAACTTCGCATCCATCGTCACTGCCATGCAGTCACACCAACCAACCCATCTCTTTTTTAGCGCCGGAGAACTACTGCGTACACACTCGTGCAGTGGGTAGCTGGAAGCCACGGCAATTGGCCTTGTGGCCCCAATAGTATGCCGTCCGCTGCTCCGTCATCATCGTCATCATCATCGCTTGCCCAGAGCCTCGGGGCTATCAATGGAAGCACTGCGGGGAGGACTGTTTGCAACTGCCCCTGGACTTGGGTTTGCAGCTGCCGACGCCATGCGAAGGGTTCCATACCTTCTAAAGCGGATTGTGGGTTCGGGGTCCGACTTTCGGCCTTACCGGCAGTGGCTGGTTGCGGGTCACTTGACCTGGTGAGCAAAGAATGACGCTACGATACGGAGTAATACAAGAAGTAATACGTACGTACGGAGACGACGAGTGACCATCCCCAAACCCAGAAACAAACCCAAGTCGCATACCATGAATCGCAAATGGGTTCGACCAAAAATTGCTACCACCATAGGGCCATGTTCCCATACTCTCCACCCCTTTTACGTGACACAATTATGCGATGCACAAAGACACTACCCTTCTCTTGGTCATGTATTTCTAATCGAGCGCAGTGTCGTACTACGGAGCACGGGAGTGGTGCCGCGTCACTGTGACATCGTTCTTTCGGTATTACATATTACCACGCACTACAGAAGCTCGTAGCGAAAAAGTCCGGGGATACCGGGGTATGCCCATTGTGTAAAGTACTAGCTCACGGGGGATGAAGAAGAAGAAGAAGATCAAGTGAGGGGAAAGGGGGTCAAGGGACAAGGCATCAAAATAGGAATTCGGCTAGAAGAAATGGACAGAGCGTCGGGGAACAATGGACATGAAACGAACAGCAAGACCATTGGTTCCCGATGGGTTATGCCACGTATTAGTCCATCTACGTGATGCTGTTTGCAGCCTGGCCCGTGGTCCATCACCTACATGTCATGCTTGTCCCAGATGCGCGTCGCGTCCCTTGTTCCCCCCCAATGGATACGTACATGTGGCCGTCTGGGGTTGAAAGTGCTCCGTGCCTTCCCCGTGCGGAAAAAACTCCTCGTCTTGCTCACTTGTTCGGTGAGCGAGAGATGCGGTGCGTATGTACGCTGTGTGGCCCCTCCCCTTGGGCCCCCTCAAATGGAACTGGCCAAGGTGAGACATTGGCGTCGTCACAGACTCACAGACGCAGGCTGTGAACGCTTGTTCTGTCCCTGGTGTGCAGCATGACGACTCTGCAAGATTGTGCCCAGATCCCACTGCACATCTCTCTCTCGAAGCGTCCACGGCCCGCGAAAGCTTTTGCATCGGTCTGTCGAGCTGGGGGGCGGCTCTTAAAAAAGGTACCTACGACGTTACGGTGTGCAACGGGAAGTAACAGCTTTCTTTGGGTGTTTTTGCCTCTGACACGGCTGGTCCTATCCGCCGTATCGGAGGCATTCCAGAAACAAGGATCACGCAGGACGCGACGCGGCCATTGGCCAATGCAAGCTGATATCAAGTGTGGGGATACCAAAAAAAAAAGGAAAAGAGGAGTCGCGGCTACACTCGGGCGTCCAGGTCGAGGCTAGTAATTTCGCAGCGGGGGGCCACGTGATCGTTTTGCACCCGATTTGGAAAGCTGGCGGGCATGGCCCTGCATGATTTGCTTGACAGGAAGAAGGGGGGCGTGCATGCACGAGTCCGGGGGGAGGCGTTGAACGGCATGGCTCGGGTCTGGTGGAGGCTCGAGATAATGCTTGAGTAATAGATAGCACTTCTTGCGGTCTCTTTGGTTCTGGGCTTGGCCGGGGGGCGTGTGGTTTTATTGGCGTGGGCCCTTTATCGGACCAGATGCTGGATGCGTGCTCTGGTGTCTTGGTGTTTTTATCAGTCAAGCGACGAGAGGGAGAGAGGCTCGCTCGTCCGAGTCGCCGCCCGCTCGCCGCCGCACGAGATTATCAATACCCAGGCCTCCGTACGCCGGCATCTGCCTTGCTCTGGCTTGTTTGTTACTCGGCACACTCGCGAGCCACGCCCCCCCTCTTGGGCCTTCGTGTCCCACGATAACGCCGTTCCCGGACCCCCGGCTCTGGCGGAGGCAATGGCCAGCCAAAAGGTATAAGACGACTTTTTGCCCTCCTCCATGACGCCCGCCCACCCCACGATCTTTTGGTCACCTGGTTAAACAGAAAAACACACCGACCCCGAAGCGAAAGGCGATCAGGAAAGGAGATTGGAACCAATATTAGAGAGGAGCCCTCGCCGCCACCCTTTTTGACGAGAGTTGGCCTTTGGGGTTTTCTTTCATCTTGTGTCCATACTAACCATCGTCGACATCATCGTCATCATCTTAATATACCACAAACGTTTGCCCAGCTGAATCTGCTGTGGACACTTTGCTGCTCTCTCTCGACTCTCACAACTCATCGCCACCAACGAAGCTCGCTTGCTTGCCTGCTTCGCTCACTGCCTCTCTTATCTCTCCATCCCATCGAGGCACCCTCCCATTCATCCCATCCATCCCATCCATCTCCCTACCTCCCAAGATTCACTGATAAGCCCAAATCACCCAAACCCAATCAATACTTTACTCACACACCAACGCCAAACCACCAAGAAAAAGATAAAGCGCCACCCAATCGTCGCTTTGTTTTTTCTTCTCCCACCTTCGACCACTCTTCATCATCACATCACATCACCCATTTCCCATCAGGAAACAAAACGAATACCTAGCACTTAGGCAGAGCCAGCCGACTTCACTCCTCATACGAAGCCAACAGGATTGCAATGAGACCCGCGCCTTCTCGTGGGTTGGCTTGCTTGCCCGTTCGCAGGGCCTCTACTTTTCCCAATACCGACTCATTCTCATCCACATATGCTCTTCTCGCGACGGCGGTGATTCGTGCCAACCATGGCCACATCACCACTTCTCCCAGAGGCAGCTTTGCCCTCATGGTCCAGCAGCGTCGGGGTATTCACTCTTCAGAGCGCAAGTCGTCGACCGTCGCTGAGCTGCCAGGTGCCGTCCCTCCTCCAGCCAACTTGGAACCCAGCCGCGCACCCCTCTCGGTTTTGCCCTTGAGCATGATCCTCCGCTCCTTGGCCACAACTGTCGTGTCTTCCTCCCCTCTGCTTCTGCCACCGTCGCTGCAGATCATGAACTTGCTGGCCCACAGCACCAACCCCATCTTTAACCCTGACAGAAACCCTATTCTTCGATACTTCCTCAAGAAGTCATTCTATGCCCAGTTCTGTGCTGGTGAGAATCCCGCTGAAGTGCAGGCGACTATTAACAGGTTGAAGAACATTGGGTTCACTGGCGTAATCCTGGGATATGCTCGCGAGGTCGTCTTGACAGAGAAGCAGGCCGAGGAGGTTGAGTTGGCTGCTGGACAAGAGACCCAAAAAGTCATCGACAACGAGATTGT